GTCTTGCGCAGATGATGAATTTGCAGTTCAGACCCTTGTCTTTGACCATTTGCTCACCCAGGAAGTCGGCTAAGCGCTTGGCCGTTGTGATGGATGTTGATTTCTGCGAGCCATACTCCTCCAATGTTTTGGACATGCTTCGATTCTCCGAAATCAGCTCCATCAGCTCCTCGTCCTCGAGTGATGCGCCCTTGCTGTGAAGGATGTCAAGCCAGCGGTTAGCCACCTTTGCAACGGCCGTGTAACACTCGGCCAGCGTTGTGCCTTCCAAGAAGAATTTGAAGATTTGTTGCTGAAAGATCTTGATGAGCTTCAGCTCACCTCGGCGCTTGACTTCGAAACCCTTGAGCTCTGCGAGACTTCCATCGTCGTTGAAGACAGCATAACGTTTCTTCAAGTTCTTGTCCTCTTCCTTTGAAGTCGGCAAGACCATAGCCTTGTATGGACCGTCGACTTCGAAAAAGATGGAGTTGTCGCTGTGCGTCTCATACTTGAACGTCTTCTCGTCAACCAGGGTTTGGTACTGGTGATTCGTGAACTTGGCATGGACAAGATGGTTCAACATGACACAGGGGTACGAGACAGTGACCTTCTTTCCGCCTTTCATCTTGAACGAGAAGTTCTCCGGGAACGTGGCAGGCAACATGCACCAGATACCGTCCGTATCCAGCTCTAATGGACGGCCAAGACGCTCGACAAGGCCACGAGCAAGCTGAATAATCGTGGCGCCGGTCAAGCATGTGACACCAGCCATCTCGAGCGAGTACCATCGCGAACCCTTTCGCATAACGTAGCCGTAGAAGGAATTAAGAATGACCTTGTGGGCCAATTGTAGCGAATCGAATAAGATGATCATCTTCTTCGCTGCTTCAACCTCGGTGGAGCTTGCTCCGGATGACTTGAGGGCCTCTGTTTTCCCCTTCCAGACTTTCGCCTTTCCTTTGTAGTCGTAACGACGGTCACGAAAGTCGCGCACCGTGTTGATGTAGAACGGATTCTCTCGCTGGCAGATGATGGCTTCCTTGGTTATAATGGTGGAGTCGTGAATCTTATGATAGATCTTCTGCGAGTACATTTGCAGACGTTTCCTGATGAGAGCCGTTTGTTCGTCTTGTGATAAGTCTTGGAACGGTCGCATGGGCGAGTTGGGATATTTCCCAGGGAACTTTTCACTTTCCAGCGCATTTCGGATCATGTTGTACTCGTCTCTCTTCGCAGGAATGTACTCTCCTCGCCACGACCATGGCAGACGTCGATCGCAGGTCTTGCCCGGTCTGTTGAAGTCGCAAGCCGCACAGTCGGATTCTTGGACCATGGAGTCGGGCTGCAGTCGATTGGTCGTCATGATGTTGGGATACATGGAAGCAACGTCCAAGTGGTAGATGAGGGGTCGCTCCATGCGATTTGGTGTCTCCTTGAGAGCCTGTAGTCGTGCAGCTACCTGTGCCTTGACCTCCTCGTAGTTCTCGACATCAGCCATGGACTTTTTCTCCTCAACCTCAATGGTGAACCGTAGCGCTGAATCAAGGTCATGGAGCAGCTCGTCCACTGCTGTCGGGTCCACGGCAAAATTGACTGGTATGTCGGCCCGAAACACACCAGCTTCTATACTCTCGACGTGACCACCAACATAAGTTTCGGAATCGAGCAAGTGGCCATCCCAGAAGGCTTCTTTTGGCGCCATGTGCTTGTTAGGAAGCACGATTTTCCTCTCATACGCCTGCACCATCAGCAGCATCTCGCAAAGTGTGCCGGTACCTTTCCTCAGCGTATCATCGCCGCCCAGCGGCAGAATTGTGCAGAGGGAGAAGACGAAGGGGTGGACGTATTTCATATACAGGTAGTAGGTTGCAACAGCATCGGAAACGGAATACTCTGCCAGGGTTTGTGGTCGTTCAGCGGCATAGGGCGTCATGAGTTCGGGGTCGAGCTCGTCTGGGTCGTATCCGAGCTTCGCGACTGTGACAGCTTTCAGACCTCGCGATCCTTGTGGTAGGTATGAATCACGATTGACCCAGTGGAAACAGTCCATATGCACGCCATAGCTGCACTGGTACTGATCCTCACTGTTCTTCTTCCAGCCAATCTCCTGGTACATGTCGATGCCGTGGAAGCTGGCTCTCGTTTCCACAAAGGGCCAATCGAAAAAGTCACCGTTGTACGTTGCAATGACAGTTGGTCTGGCCTCCTTGATGTGCTCAAAGAATCTCTCGATGACATTCTTCTCGTCCTTCTCGTTGAAAATCATGAATGCACCTGGGTACTCGGGTTTTGGCGTGTATTCGAAATCTGAAATGTCTTCAGAGACAATTTCGCGATTGGTAATCAGGAAACCCTGGCCGTCGATCATGTACGATATCATCATGATCTGGTCCGTGGCGGCGTCAGGGAATTTCAGGGGCAATTTCGACGTCTCGATATCGTAGGCCATGACCACGGGGTCGGCCATGGCCAGTCGCTCCTCGTTGCATATGATGGATGTGATGCCGTGTTTCGAGTCCACGAAGTACCATTTTCCCACTCGTATATCTGTTGTTCGTTAGCATCTCCTTGGTTGTCAAGCCATTGCCGAATTCCATACTCAAATCAATCATTACTCGTACATGGTACGGCACATCGTACTCTCGGATATCGACTATAAAGTCGCTCGCATCGGCAAAAGAAGCATTCGCTCGTCTATCATCTTCTCGTGAATCGTCAAAAAGGTCAATGTCGCCGTTCGCCCTGTCAAAATGTTAGCATTCCAGACCCTCGAAGAGCAGTTGCAGGGGGGGAGGGGGAGGGGGGGCCTACGTGGCAACCTCTGCATACGCCTCCATCACATCCACGTTCTTCTTATTCTTCGCCGCAATAGGCATAATGTCCCTGCGTGCCGCCAGCAAGTCGTTGACGTTGAGGAAGCGCAGCTCCAAGAACGGCCGTCGGTAGCCCAGCAAGTGGTTCGGCACCTTCAGGTCCTCCTTCTCGACCCTCTTGATCGTCTTGACGCAGCCGTCGCCGGGCACGCGCTTGAGCCACTCCTCGACCTCGCTCTCGCGGCCCTTTTTGACGGCGACGAGGAAGTAGGGCTCGTACTCGACCGTCGCCTTGAACGTCGCGCCGTCGTCCTCCATGAAGTAGCAGTCGAGCGCGGCGCGGCCGCCGGGGTTCCGGTCGTCCTCGACGGCCGTGGGCTGCACGTTGACGAGCCAGCCCTCGCGCCGCCGGCCGCCGCCCTCGTGGCGCGCGAAGCCCATGGCCTCGTCGATCGTGTTGCTCAGGCGGGTGCGCTCCCAGCGCTCGTCGGCGGAGGTGGCCTCGGCGCGGGAGGAGGCCTCGAAGGTTCGGGGTTTCGTGGAGCGACCGCCGTGGAAGGCGACTTTGCCGCCGCGGCGGTAGCCCTTTTGCGGGCGCCGCAGAGATGTGTTCGGCATTTTTTTCTCGCTGTGAGGGAGGGGTGTAGGCTTCGAGGTTGGAGGGGAAGACAGAGAAGAGGAGGGAGAGGGAGGGGCGAAACGAAAAGGAGAGGAAGGCTCGGGCTGTCGTGCACTCAGGGTATCATGGGAAAAAGGAGTGCAAGACAACAGACAAGTGAATGGAGTGATCGGGGTTCGAGGTCGTCACTCAGTAGGGAGACTGGCCTTTCGGAATACAATCTCGCACCGTTGCAGGGCGTTGTTTCGAGGGGGATGTAGTCTTGGATCCAGGGTGTGTGCAGTGTGTGCTAAAGTGGAATTGCAAATCGCGGGTCAGTCCCTCAGCAACGGTACGCGTCGAGTCGCGCTTCGACGCGACACACTAGACAGACACAGCCAACGCGCGCCGCACGGGGCAAATCAATTAACAAGGGCCCTGCATACAGTCGATTGACGCACAGACCACCTAGATTTTCAGAAACGCAGGACGTCATCTCATCAGCCCATCATCGACATTTCGAGCCATGCACCGGACCTGGAATTGACGCCATCACGACATCAACCCTGACCGCTTCCACCATGTCGTCAGATCAAAATCATACAGGGACCCGCCAGGAGGCCAAGAAGGGCTGGCTCTGGAGCCGCGGTGCCCCTGCGAACGAGCCGGCAGAAACCTCAGCACTAGCACCCTCCTCGTCACCAGAGACGGCGATAGATCCCAGGTTAGATCTCAGTCGCGCGCCTCCCAAGGAGCTTCCCAAGCTCGTCAACGCCAAGCTCGACCCTGCCGACTTTAAGACCAACTTTCCCCCGCAGCAGGGTGAGGGCCCCACCGTCGGTGATGCGATGAAAACTATCAAGCCCGAGGACTTCCTTGCCGTGAGCCAGGCGCCATGCGCGCGAGATGGATACATCGCAGGCATTGTCTCCGGCGGACTTGTTGGTGGTATCAAGTTCGTCATGAAGGGTCAGCACCCTCCCCGCAGTCCCGTTCCATCGCGGTCTTTTACAAGAGGTAAACTCACACAATACAGCTCCCATCCCAAAGGTCGCCAATTGGGCCGTCGGCAGCACCCTCGCCGGCGCAGCTGCATCGTATGAGTACTGTCAGTGGAAGCGTAGGCAGGAGAGGGTCCGCATGAGGCGGACAGTCGAAGTGTACCATGAGGCCATGGCCGACAAGCACAAGAAGGAAGCTGAAGCACGTAGGGAGGCACGGGACGAGGCTGCAAGGGCGAAGCAGGCGGCAGCAGAGGCGGCAAGGCAGGATCCTTGGTATAAATTCTGGTAGAGCTTCTTCTCGCTTGTAACAATTGTGTCAAAGAATACGTTACAGCCATGGAAGCCAACGTGCAGTCGTGATGTTATCATGTCGAGTGCCCGATTCCCTATCTCGCCATGCCAGACTTCTTTCGAAGACAGTGTGTGAATCATCGTGAGAACCCTAAGACTATTCCTCGCTCCAGTGCCCATGACGCCATACCCCGTTCCACGAAATGCCATCTCGATATGAAAGTCAAGGCTGCCTAAATCCAGTTCTGGTGCCTTGTATCGAGTTTGAAACGCCTGCCACCATCATAAAGTCGTGATATGCGAGCCATCTCGTCAGACGGTCGACTCGGCCAGAGCAGTGGCGCCAGTTTCTGTCTCCATAAAACGGACGCGCCGCGCTACAGCTGACGCTGATGCTGCCTTGTTTTTCATGACTGCAGCCGGGAGGCCGGCCGCACTGCCGCGACGGCGCTGGCTGCGCTTGTTTCTCGCCTCACTCTCTTCCCTTTTCCTGTATTCGGCCAACTGCTGCTTCCGCTTCGCAATCCTAGCGCGTGTTTGGGCAGCCGTGGGCTTGAAGCCGATGCCGTTGACGCCAACGCCATCGTCTTCCGAGTCGTCGGGGTCGTAGACGGTGATCTCGTCCTCGTGCCAAGTCAAGGCTGCTCGAACGGGATCGACGATCGTGGGCATCTCATCTTCGCTGTCGCTGATTTCGGTCTTCCTCCTGGCGGGTTCCTTCTTCGTCGTCCTCCTCCTCGGGGGCGGGGTACCGACGCGTCTCGGCTGACGGGACTTGGAGTCCTGCAGGCGGTTGATTGAAGGATAGGATCTGTGGAGCTGATCGGCGGTGGAGGAAAGATCGGAGTCGGGTGCAATTGCATCCTTGATTGTGACGGCCTTGAGGGCAAGCTGCGGCTGTGGACCGACATGGGACACCGTGGAGCTTCGCTGTGGGCTGGGAGATACGGCCCGCTCACAGTTGTCGGTCGCTGAATCGTGCATTTCGACATCGGGAAGTTTTTGTCGCTTGCGCGTTGTCGGGCTGCCATCATCTTCATCATTGTCGGGTTCGTCAGAACCTGCAAGCAGGGACCGGAAGGCTACAGGTTGGCCTGGGAGCTGCATCTGCAGCAGCTGCTGCTGGGGAATTACCCCGCCCCCACCCTGGTCGTCGATGTTGAGTCCCTTGAATTGGCGGGCAAACCTGGTCCGCGGACTCTCGCAACCGGGATCTTCACTGCTGGGAGGAGGGAGCCGAAAGGAAAACTGCGCCGTCGTGTAAGCCGGTGCAATACTGTTGTCGTCTTCGCCTCGTTTGCGCTTTGGGGTCGCCTGTTTGTGCTGAGGCGGGGCGGGCCCGGTCGGCGGCGGCTGGGTGGTGAGAGCCATTTCATTAGGCATTTATGTGTGCGTGGAGATTGATTGAACGACCCGGTGTCAGCAGATGTGTCGTGATGATATTCCAGCGCAGCTGCAGGCATAAGGATGGAGGAAATATGCGATTAGGGAATTAAAGGGCACCGCCTGGTCTCTCGATGGTGAGGTTGAATGAAGCCAGCTTCGTGTCGTCCTGTTGGGCTGTGCTGTGCTGGCCAATGTACGATGGATAGTATGGAAGAAGAAGAAGTGCCGAACGTTACGTTCAAACACTCGAATATGGCCAAGATCCGAGATCTTTCTGGGTCTTTATGAGTACAGCCCGGCGTAAGGCAACGCCAGAAGGTGCTTGCACTCAGTGAACAGGGAAAGACGCGTGTTGGGAGGGGATTAAGCGCACTTCGCAATGCGACAGTCAGAGGAAGGTTCCCGGGCCTCGTGACCGCCCGCCCTCCAAAACGGCCCAAGGGAAGGAAGTGCTGGCAAGGTTGAAAGGAAGGAAGGCGCAACCAAGCAAAGGCCGCGTAGTGAGACGCAACTGACTAAGCGGTGCTTCTACGGCCCCTTCGTCTTCAGCGTCGTCAATGCAAGATCCATCCCTCTACTAAGTGCAGATGCAAATGCGAGCACGCAAGATGAAGCACACTTGGTCCGCCTCGATCGCCAGCCTTGCTCCAGGCTTCAGAGCTAGGAAGCCTTCTCGTCGAGTCATTTCAAAATTGTAGCTATGTCGTCATGCTCCCTCCTTCACAGCTGCATCTGGGCGCCTGCAGGAGGTTTGCCCAACCACTGTTCGACAAGGGGTCACCGGTGCGACTCGGCCTTTGTCAGGTGCGTGCCTCTGCAGCACGTCCTGGGCGCCGGGACACGTCGCTCGCAGGGGAAAACAGGGTGAATCGTCATTTTCATCAATTAGGGCGTTCTGGTGAGGCTAAGAGCTGCTAATCAAGTTCGGCACATTGTTTACTCGCTCCAGCCACGGTACACAATTCGTGCGCCGTAGACGTCGCCCTTCTTCAGCACTGTTTGCGACCTCCACTCGTCAACGTTGATGGCATTGACGTAACGACTCGGCTCAACGCAGAAGCCGCTGCGCTTGCCTCGCGCCGGCAGCCCGCCAACGGCCGGCACGTCAATGTATTTGCCTGTGTAGAACTGGAACGCGGGCTCCGTGCTGGCCACTTCGAGATGTACCTTGCTCTCTGGGTGGTACGCCTGCACGAGCGTTGTCAGCGGGCTGTTGCGTGTGTCCAGGGGGACTGCGCCGGCCGCTTCGTTGACGACGAAGCAGTCGTCAATATCGGGCTCTTCAGCACCCAGTGTGAAGGCCTTGCCCCCGGTGATCCCCTTGCCGAAAGCCGCGGGACCGCCTGTAGGAATGCCGCCGTCATCGACGGGGAGGTACTTGTCGGTCGCAAGCGTGATCTCGGTGCCCTCGATTGTCGGTCCGCCCGTCAGGTTGAAGTAGGAGTGGTTTGTCAGGTTGATGGCAGTCTCGTCAGCGCCGCCGACAAGCTTGGTCTCGTAGTCGATTCCCAGGACGTTGACCTCTTTGCCGTTCTGCTTCTGCACACCTGCAGTGTAGGTGATAACGGTCTCGACCGAGCCCGGGTATCCCTCGTCGCCATCCTCGCTGAGCAGAGAGAACTGCACGCTCTCGCCACCCTCGAGGCCGTCAACGCCGGGAATGGAGCGCACGCCGACGGGCTTGGGACCGTTCCACTCCCGCTTGCCCCAGCCCTTGTTGCCGCCGTGGAGGTGGTTGACGCCGTTGTTGGCGGCCAGGGTGTAGGACTTGCCGCCGTTGAGGGAGTCAATCTTGGCGTTCTTGACGCGGTTGGCGATGCGGCCGATGGTCTCGCCGAAGAAAGGCGAGTTGTGCTGCTCGTACAGCTCCTTGGTGGGGAAGCCCTGGACAATGTTGATGCCCTTGACTTGGAATGACTGGATGATGGCGCCGAGGGCCAGGAACTCGAAAGGTGCGTCAGTCATGTTGTCGATTCGCGTTCTATGCCCTGCGGTGAATAGATAGGAGGTGGGAACAGGAAGAGTTGATCAAGTTGGAATCAAAACGATGGCAACAGGGCAGCAGGGCAGCATGCGGCCCTTATGTGCATCATGACGGCGGTGGCCGATTGTCCCAGTTTGGCGGGATTCAGGGCTCTCGCCACCCGGTTTACTTGGTTGCAAACCCGCTCGAATCTCCTTGGATCCCCATACTTCCCCCTTCTGCCCCTCACACCTACCTAACTACCTGAGCAACGCATATTCAGGCTGATTCCACGCACCCACAAACCTTGCTGGTGCGGAACGCGAGGAGGGGCGAAATGTCGGCGGTGCGGGGCATGGCGGGGTAATTGGAGACACAGAAACACAGAATACTCAGGCTGGAGGCAATGAGGATCGAGACAGGCGACACAGCACCAGCCCACATCCGGCAATGCGCGACTTTGACTGGTGCGGGTACTTGAACCGTGGCCGGTCCTTCTTTTCGGCGCGCCGATGACACCTTGGTAGCGGCTCCGAGGGGCCGTCGTGTATCGTGCCAGTTGTGCAATCACTGAGCGATACTCCCCGACAGAGGGCCGGTGGATGCGCACGCAGAGAGAGCGGAATTCATGATGGGGCATCGAGAAACATGTGTGATGGAGTCTTGAACGGAGAACAACTGCATCACATGACTGACACACTTGGACAGTCACAATGACCGGCCGGTCTCTGCGATCTCCTCATCGTCACTATTCGACCAAACAATTTGCCAACGCATCTCCCGCCGACCGTTTTGCTCGACCTCATCGTCCGATCTGGTCCCCAGTATGAGGGTGGCGCCAACACGGGAGCTGTGCGACGCGGGACCTGGCACTACGAGCTCTCGACCGAAATGAATGGGCGCAGCTCATCACGGGGCTTGCTCTACCTGCCAGCACAGCATCGTGTCACTTCTTTCGGCCTGCCATTCAGCCCGTTGAGGAAAAGTTTAAACGCCTCCTCTGTCGCTTACCCCTACGAAGAAGCAACGCCTTTGGCCACGGTCCGAGTGGCTTGACCATTCGAGCCCTGGCGGCAGCCCAGCTGAGGAAGCTTGACTAAAAGCTTGTCCAGCCCTACACCCCCCTGGCTCGAGAAACTTGCCGCCGTTCAGGGGTGCTGGCGGCAGATTTATGCTTACTTGGACCCCGGATCGTCTGGCTCAATTGGGGGACTTTGTTGGGACAATGCGATGGCAACATCGAACCGAATCATTTTGCAAGAGATGCCAAAGTGTTTTCCATGTGTTACATCAGTGCGAATCTCAACGAAGCTCGACAGGTCCTGATGCCACGAGATTCTTGCCTGACATTCAACGGTGACCGCATTACACCTCGTCTATCTGGAGGGTGAAAGATGAAGAAAAAGCACAAATCAGGGGCTCAGGTGGCACAAATATTGATCACAGCTCCCACACCAGGAGCGCGGTCGTTCAGCTAGTCGCGACGTCTAGACCCTGCATCAGTTGCCATGCCTGGGCCGGGTCCTCCTTATCCCGGCTTCCCCCACACCCAGCTCAGCACCACGCGACCGACTACCTTCAGATTGTCTGGCAGTGTCTCTGCTGTTTGTCTAGGCGAGGCGTTCTTGACGGTGAGGCTTTTCGCAATCAAATCGTGGAAGGATAAACCTGTCGCGGCCTGGGGCGAGAGAAGCGAGATGTCTATATATTGTCCGTCGCACCTGTGTCGGGTGTTACTATTCCGCAGCTCTCCATCATTATCTGCCAACTCCCTTCACTCTACTCTTGTATCTTCCTAAACCTTCTGCAAATCGCGTCTTGATCCAAGCAAAGATATACAGAATGCTCCCCCTGCTCACCCTCCCTGCCCTTGTGGCCGTCGCGGCTGCCACGACCCCTTTCCGTACCCACAAGACCACTGTTCCCTTCAACAGCACCATACCTGCAGCCCTCTTTTCCCTCGCTCGTCGACAGTGCGACGTTGCCTGCGGCGAAGGGGCATGCCTCGAGACTGGCCAGACATGTTGCGATGAGGCCATAGGCTCATACTGTGAGGCCGGCTACGTGTGCAACCCTGACGGGTGCTGCCCCGAGGGCGATATCTGCGACGGACCAGCCGAGACGTGTATTGACGAGACGGAGGCTCTCTGCGGTGTTTGTGAGTCTTAATTTTTCTCTATCTTTTTGACTCCAAACTCCGATATTTGGTGCGCTGTGCTTTCGGCAGCCCCTTTCCCTTGACCTGGCCGACCCCCTACTTTCTGCTCCGTCTCGCCCTCATTGCTGGCTTGTTCATTCCCACCCTTCAAGGAAGCCCAGTCGACTAACTCAGCTGCTTGAAAAAGTCTGCATCCCCGGTGATGCCCAATGCTGCAACGGCGATGCGGGTCAGTTCTGCGAAGCGGGCAGCCTCTGCGTGGATACCGGCTGTGAGCCCGTTGACGGCGGCCCAGTTGACCCTGTTGACCCTGTCGGCCCTGTCGACCCTACCGATCCAACAGGCCCTACCGACCCTACTGGTCCCGTCGACCCTACCGATCCTACTGGTCCCGTCGACCCTACCGATCCTACTGGTCCCGTGGATCCTGCTAATCCCACCGACCCTACGGATCCTACCGATCCTGTGAACCCTACCGACCCGACCCCGACGCCCGGCACCGGAAACGGCAGCGGTGGAAACAACAATGGCGGCAACAACGGTGGCAGCAATGGAGGCAATGGTAACGATGGAAACAACGGAAATAATGGCAACAACGGCAACAACGGTAATAACGGCGCCAATGGCAGCAACGGTGCCAATGGTGCCAATGGTAGCAACGGCAGCAACGGTAATGGCAACGGCAACGGCAACGGCAACGGCTCAAGCGCAGGTCATGTTAGCAGCCCACAGGCGGCGCTTCTCCTGCTTGTTTGCGGAGCCTTGCTGCTTCTGTAGGATGACTGCGGACTCCGTTCGTTGTAAGCATGTTTTGAATTTTATCGTGGGTATAATCGGTCAATTCTTCAGCTTGGGGAGTTGCGTTCAGGTATTCACGCAGAGGAACGGGCTCGGCATAAGTGGATATCAAATTTGTAAATAGATCAACTGGAAGAGAGTCATCACAACATGCGCCTGAAATCCCGAATGAGGGTATATGTGACCAAATGCATCAAGAATCAGGCATGCCGAGTCAGTTTCAGCATGAGATCATGATACAATTAGCAGCAGTCAATGCCATGTGGGACAAAAAAATAACATGCCACATCGTTCGCCGCCGGTGACAAAAAGCAAAGCTGACAAACATCACTCGCTGTCATCGCTTCCCGACTCGTCATCGTCATCGAGGAACGCCAAGTCTGCCTGCGCCCCTGACCGTCCCCGCGCTTTCGACGACACGCCAAAGTCTTCGTCATCCTCCTCACTGCCATCGTTTCCACCCTCCTCGCCCGCTCCGCTGCCCTCGTCGCTGGCGTCTTTCATCGCCACCTTGGCCTTGCTCCTCGAGGCCCGTCCTCCGACACCCCAGGCGGCATCCATCTCCTTCACCGCCTCCAGGTCTGCCTCGAGCTCCCGCCTCTCCTTGATTTCTCGCGCCCTCGCCTCCGAGAACCGCCCATCCATGCCCGCATGCCGCAGCATCCCGCGCAGGTGCTTGATCTTGGCCTTCGGGTCGCCGCCGCACCCACGCAGCTCGACGCCCCAGATCTTGCGGATCCCGCACTTGACGAGCTGTGATTGCAGCTTCTTGACCTCTGCCTCGTCCGGGTCATCGGAGGCGGCGGCCCCGCTCTTGCGCGGCGCGCGGGGCTTGGCGGGCGCCGCATCTCTGGACTTGGCGCCGCGTTTCGGTTTGGGAGGCTCGTCGAGGACGTCGGAGAGCTCACTAGACTCGGCATCCTCGGCGTCAGGTTTTGACTTGACAGCTAGGTCGTCTCCTTCGTCCTTGCCAGAGGGTGGCTTTGCGGGCTGCTTCTTGGGTTTCACGGGTGTCGCTTCCTTGCCCGGCGCCGCCTTCTTCGGCTGCGTCTTGGACTTTGCTCTCGGTTTTGGCTTTGGCTTGGGCGATGCATCCATCACGTCCGAGAGTTCGCTGTCTTCGTCGGGGGGCGCATCCGAGAGCGCACTAGATTCGTCTGCTGATGCCTCTTCATCCTCGTCGTCAGACACGGTCTTTCTCTTCTTGGCGGGCTTCTTCGGCGCCGGGCCAGCCTTGCGCTTCTTTGTGGGTCTGGCCTCTTTTTCGCTGTCGTCTTGACTCAAGTCGTCCGAGTCATCGCCGCCGTCGGAACCAAAGTCGCCCTCTGGGTCGTCGCTCTCCGGCTCGCTGTCGAGAACCTTGTGTGGCTTGCGAGCGCGTTTCGCTTTCGGTGGCGACCCATCTTCCTCGTCAGACGCAGCCGTCTTGCGCGCCTTGGAGCGCGCCACCGGCTTCTTCTTCTTGGGAGGTTCCTCGTCGTCGTCGTCCGCGGCGTCCTTGACAGGCTTCGGCGCCGGGGTCGGGTTGGTCTTTTGCTTGGCAGGAGAGCTTTCTTGCTGCTGCGACGCAGTGTCGAGCGACTCCTGTTTGGTTCTGATCAGCATACTACCGCCAATACGACAGATGATACACAGCGGGGGGACGAACAGCTATTTCCTTGATGAGGGCTCTGCTGCGAGACTTCCACTCCGGCTCCGAGAAGAAGCCCTCCTCGAGATGGAGCTTCTCCTCGGTGAACTTGCGAATGTAATTGACGGTGAGGTTGTCGCGATTGATGCCAGACACCTCGCGGACGGCGTCCCGGATGGCGGCCTCGATCTCTTGCTTGGACAATGCCATGGCGAGCAGACAGGGCTAGATGCGGAGCCTGGATGATAGTGTGACAATTTTCCTCACGATAAAGGGGCAATCATAAAATACACCAAAGTCGGTACTGATTTGCGAGGGGTACACATGCAGGACAGGTGCGGTTGCCGTCGCGTGAGAACGCGTCGCGATGATCACGATCTGCAATAGGGATCTGGGGGAGGGAGCTTGGACGCTGGAGTGGTAGCCGCAGGTGTTGGTGCCCCGCCGCCGCATTAGGCTGGAGGTGGATGTAGACTGGAGTCCTGCGTTCTGGTCCAAGCTCCCAAGCTCTGTCTCTTGTGCGCTCCTCGGTCAGCTGAATATCACTGACTCGGTGAGAGAGCGCACATCGATCACTCAACATTCGACCTGCTCTTGAAAGGTTCATTCGGGCCGTATCTCGGCGGCTTCACGAATACGGCCGCACAAGAAAAAGCATCACCAGAAAAAGCCCTCGCCCCTTGTGTAGCTATATATCGCAGGCTACCAAAAAAAATATGCAGGCACCGACCTGCGTCATGCCAGAGCCCTCGGGAGGACGCGGCTTGGGCAGCCGGGCATGCGCGGTCGGGCCCACGCTGCAGGAGGCTTTCGTCCGGGTCAGAACAGGGGAAAAGCACCAGGCGGAGGGGTGTGGCCGGACGATTGGACCCGAGGCCGTCGCAACAGCCTGCCGCGTCGGGTTACTTGTGTAATTCCCTCGTCTCTCAGCAGTGCGCTCCGTACATCGAGTCGATGCTTGACCGCTGGACGATGACCGGATGATAACGCCCGCTGCTGGGGTTGGACGAGGTTTCTGTTACGAGAACTTGGCACGTTTGGCTGTGAGGGCTGCCAGGAGTCCGGAACTTGTCCTGTTGGCCCGGGGTTCAGAGGATTGGGCCTTGCGAGATTCTTAGCTGGTACCTGCTTGGTTGACTGTTGAGAATATCCGCGGCTGCACTCAAGAGACAGTGCCTACGAACAGCCCGGACGTACATGTACACTGCAGGGTGTGCCATGCTGCAGGAGACCCTTGAGGTATATATGTGAGGCACATTGCTTGCTTGCAGCAGCTTTTTTCTGGAGGCCTGTCGGTATACTTCGTCCTTCTCGATCAAGTTTGCGGCAGATTTTGTCACAATGACGGGCGGCTAGTCGGGCCTTAAGCTGCTGATGCTGTTGTGGGTTGCAAATGAGATGTCATATCTGGCCTGGCTGGAGCGATGGTCTTGGAATTGAGGACATTGCTTCCGCCTCATGATTGCTCCATAAGTACATCAAGTAAATGTGACCAGCAGACGCTGGAAAGTTCCGTCTCGATAATCACCTCCCGACTGTCGGTTCAACTGCGTTGGCGCAGCCAGACGGCAGAACAAACGATGTGCTGGCGCCCAGTGTTACGGCTCGCCCACCTCACCACTGGTAAACTCCCGAGATGCCTTACGGTACCTACCATTGTATTGCTCGGCGTGGTGACGTTTCTGGTTGTCCGCCAGATCCAGGCCCTACAGCACCCAATTTAGGTATCTGCTAGGGAGATGGGGTTCGTTCAGCTTGCCGATCCGTCATGCCCTCCAAGCTTCGTGTGCTTAGAGAGGGGTCTTTCATGGACGAGGAGGCTCACGTAGCTGGAAAGGCCTATCTGATGCCGTGGGGTCAATGCCGTGCAAAACAATGGACATCAGAGGAATAATGTCGAAGTGCACATCCTGCGTCTTCTCCGCGTTCCACTGTTTTCCAAAAAGTCAAACGGCTATCGTCCCTCCCGTCCCCTGTTGATTCCCCTCCGTCAGGCCCTCTCAGGGCGCCTGTACCCAGCGACACACCCCTGCCACCATTCCACAGTGGCCCCTGCCACCATTCCACGGTGGCACCCCCCTAGCCCTGCCCCTCCATCCATCTCGTCATAAGCTCCGGGCCAAGCTCCCGGCGTACCAAGTTCCCCGCCATCTACTCGACGTCCTTTTTCTTGCCTTCACTGCCCGCCTTCAGCTTGTGTTGCGTCCAGCCCTCTTCACCTCTGCTCCAACATCCGCCCACCACGTGAGGCCCACGCCCTATAACCTCGATCACCACCACTCTCTTGCCTCACGACCTGTCAATCAGACGACTCTTCCACAGCTCCGAACCAAGCATCATCCGACACAAACACGCACACATCATGCCTGCTCTCCTCGAGCAAGACGCCGCTCCGCCCGGTCGTCTCCTCCTGCTGTCGAACCGTTTGCCCATCACCATCAAGCGCGAGGAAGATGGCAACTATCAATTCTCCATGTCCTCTGGCGGTCTCGTCACTGGCCTCAGCGGCCTGTCCAAAACCACAAGCTTCCAGTGGTACGGCTGGCCTGGCCTCGAGGTTCCCGAGGCAGAAGTTGCTGGCATGAAGCAGCGCCTCAAGGACGAGTACGGCGCCCACCCCGTCTTCGTCGACGACGACCTCGCCGACCGCCACTACAACGGCTTCTCCAACTCGATCCTCTGGCCCCTGTTCCACTACCACCCCGGCGAGATTACCTTTGACGAGAGCGCCTGGGCTGCGTACCAAGAGGTCAACCGCCTCTTCGCTAAGACGGTAATCAAGGACGTCCAGGACGGCGATCTGATCTGGGTCCACGACTATCACCTCATGCTGTTGCCCGAGATGCTGCGTGAGGAGATGGGAAACTCCAAGAAGAATGTCAAAATTGGCTTCTTCCTGCACACACCCTTCCCCTCCTCTGAAATCTACCGTATCCTGCCTGTGCGCGAGGCCCTTCTCGCCGGCCTCCTCCACTGCGACCTCATCGGCTTCCACACCTAAGACTATGCTCGTCACTTCCTGTCCAGCTGCTCCCGCATTCTCTCAACACCGACGACACCCAACGGAGTCGAGTTTAAGGGCCGCTTCGTCACCGTCGGTGCCTTCCCCATCGGCATCGACCCCGAGAAGTTTGTCGAGGGCCTCCAGAAGCCCGTCGTCCAGAGGCGCATCGAGGCCCTGAAGCGCAAGTTTGAGGGCGTCAAGCTCATCGTCGGTGTCGACCGACTCGATTACATCAAGGGCGTGCCCCAGAAGCTTCACGCCCTCGAGGTCTTCCTCACGGAGCACCCCGAGTGGATCGGCCGCATCGTCCTCGTCCAGGTGGCGATCCCATCACGCCAGGACGTCGAGGAGTACCAGAACCTCCGCGCCGTCGTCAACGAGCTCGTCGGCCGCATCAACGGCCGCTTCGGCACCATTGAGTTTATGCCGATCCACTTCCTCCACCAGTCCGTCTCCTTCGAGGAGCTGACGGCCCTGTACGCCGTCTCGGACGTTTGCCTCGTCTCCTCGACCCGCGACGGCATGAACCTCGTCTCGTACGAGTACATCGCCACGCAGCGCGAGCGCCACGGCGTCATGGTCCTCTCCGAATTCACCGGCGCCGCCCAGTCCCTGTCCGGCTCCCTCATCGTCAACCCCTGGAACACCGAGGAGCTCGCCAACGCCCTCCACGACGCCGTCACCATGTCCCCCGAGCAGCGCGAGGCCAACTACAAGAAGCTCGAGCGCTACGTCTTCAAGTACACCTCGGCCTGGTGGGGCCAGTCCTTCGTCAACGAAATGACCCGCCTCTCCTCCGACGCGAGCCATCAGCCCAAGGCCATTGGCAACGTCGCCGGCAGCGTTGCCGCCGGCGCCCAGGCCGTCAAGGGCGCCGTCGAGGGCATCTTCAACAGCGAGGACGCCAAGGCGGAAGCCGAAAAGGAGGCTGCGTAACTGACGGCGGGACGAGAGCCAAAACGGCAAGGCTGATGCTAGCCGGCCTTGCGAAAGATAGACATGACGAGCGCTGGACGGGCGCATCACGAAGCAGGGCGTTGCACGGTTTCCTTTTTTCTTTTCTTGTTTCAAACTTTGTCTATCCTCGTTTTGTTTTTTATGTGATGCGAGGATTTTCACTCCATAGGGTGCTCTGGTAACTCATGTCTTCAACCCTCGTTTGAATTGACTATCTACTGATTCATGATTGCGTGTGATGCCTCCCCTGTCAACCATGACCTTCGATAAGAAGGCCACGTTGATCCCTTGGCTAAACCTTCATCAAAGCAAAGCATGCCACACTTCGTGGCTTACAGGTCATTCATAAATCACCGAAGGAGGACAGAAAACCAGTCCTGGAAATCGGTTCTCATGTTCTCTTCTCGTCACCAAACCACGTTCTGGGACCGCAAAGGTATCTCGGCCAGACAAAACAAAAGGAAAAAAAAGAAAGAGATAATAAGTATCAGAAAAGAAGAGGCGAAAAAGTGAAATCCTGCCCCCAAACCACCAAACAACACCAGTCCAAACGTGCATCAACTAACCCAAAGTCAAGGGTCAAGCAGTCAGTCGAAGCCGGACCGTCATCAGAGTCAACTCCATCTTGCCACGACCTTGAGCAAATCATCCCAAATCATCCCCCACCCATTCAGTTCCTTAGTACGGGGAGTTGACAACCTCATCCCGACCAAGCTTGTAACGCCCACTCCTCGGCGTGCCGATGCGACCCGAACTCTTCCGGCCGCCCGACACACTGAGCCGTGTAAAGTCGCCAGCGATGCTCTCGCGTGTGGGCCGCTTGAGCCCGCCCTTGCCAATCATGTTGACCTCGTTCGGCAGCGCGACAATGACGTTCTTGTCGGTGCCGAATTGGAAGTCGTCGGCCTTGACGTCTTCGGTATACCGCTTGATGAGGTACGGCGCCTTGGCGCCGCGGAGCACCTTCTTAAGATTCCATTCAATGATGTACGGGCCCGTGGCCGTAATGATGCTCGTCTCCTCAACCCCCTCGCCGGCATTGAAGCGCGCGGGCGTGAAGCGCACCGGCTTGCCCGTTTCGTGCGAGAATTGCGCAACGTGCTCGGGCGTGAGCGCGAGACGACGCGGCTGCGGCTTATCGGCGGCGGCGAAGGGCTTCTCAAAGCCGAGTTTGCCCTCGTTCTTGCCCGTCTTTTGCATGGCGTCGATGAGCAGAATATACGTATTACATGTGGCGAGCACCCAGCGGCCGTCAGCGGAGACGTCGAGACCAATGATAGCCTCTCCAAGAGCCGGGATATGTGTTTTGGCGTTGATTCCGAGACGATCAAAGAGACGGACATCGCCCTTGTTGGAGGCCACGGCAATGTGTCCCTTCTCGGTTGTCGCCATGGCAGAAAACTGGTTCTTAGAGGCATACTGTTTCAGCTGCGATTCCACGAGCTTGTCACCCGATAGACGAGGATCGATGCGGTAGAGTGCATTGTGCGAGACACCGAGGAAAGTGGGTTCGTGCGTCATCTGGGCGTACTTGTTCTCAGGCGCGAACGTGACAACAGGAATATCTTCGTGGACGTTCCATTCGTCCACAACCTTGCCGTATTCGAGATCCATGCGGTACAGCTTATTGGGGTCTGTTTGATGTTGGAGGATCATGTTGCGATCCTCGTTGTGCAACATGACTTTCTTGGGGCTGAACAGAACACCGTTGGGCGTCTCAACTTTGGAGATGTTGGTCGAGAACTCGAGCTTGTCGTTGTTTGTGTGCTTGAACACGCCAATCTTCGAACCACGCACAACGAATGAACGATCGTGCTTGTAGCCAACAGCGAGCTGCGAGTTGACGTTGCCGTCCTCGTCTTTGGTGACTACGTCCTCATCCTCTTCATCGCTGTCGTAGTGTTCGCTTTGCTGACCAGGGTCGGCATCCTCATACTCAGGCTCTTCCGCCTCCTCTTCTTCCTCTTCCTGCTCTTCAGGTGTGTCTTCCATCTGAAGGTCGTTGAATGCGTCGGTGACATATTCCTGCTCACGTTCCTTAATTTTCTCCCATTTTGTCTCGTTCAGTTGCTCCCAGAGACAGCGAAGCAGACCTTCCTGGAAACGTTCCAGGGTAGGTTGATCCTTGAAGCGAAGGAGCCACGAGTACGCAGAGCCGTCGGGAGTAAACTGATTAAAGATAAAAGAAAGGAACTCAAAGTTGAAGACCGGATTGATGTCAGCAACAATAGGGATTCCGAGCCAATCACGATCCTTGCCCTCAACCTGTAGCCAATACTGCCATTTACCGACCTCCGTGACAATCGCGACAACGGAGGCGTCCTGCTGTACGAATGATCCCGAGACAAAATCGTAAAAGTGAAGCTCTGCGTTTTCTGCCGCATACGTCGTAAGCGCCTCTGGCGCCTCGGCAGACACGGCTGGAGGGCCAGGTTCCTTCTTTGTCTTCTCAGCAGCCGGAGGCGGGGTCTGTTCACGCTGGGCGGCCGTGTTGGCTGAGTTGCGACTGGTGCGGAACATGCTGTCGGAAGACTCAATCGAGCGGGTTAGAACGGGGCTATGCAGAGGGCTCGCAGGCGGGATAGCGGGCTCGTCGTGGAACTCGAACTGACGGAAGTCGTCGTTGGAGGCGGTTGTGTGTGGCTTCCGGTATTTGCGTTCGTACTGGCACTCCTTGGCAATGCGCTCGAAGGATTCTGCTTGCGCGGTAGAAACGCTATTATCGCAAACAAATTCGAAGACGTCGCCTGTATCGCCGCTGAGATCCCGCCAAGCGATGACCTTCTCGGACCCTTCACGAATCTCGACGCGGAAGTGGAGGGCTTCGTCGAGCAGAAATGTCTTCTCGTCTCGTTCGGCAGACAGCGCGTCAATCTCGGCGTCCTCCCCTTCTTCTTCAGCCAATAGTTCAGCCTCGCCTTCCTCGTAGACTCTCTGGATCACTAGTTGGTATTGGAAGTCTTGGCCGGTACGTCGAATTTGTGCCGTTGCGTCTTTAAAGATGAGTTCCGAGTAGCCCTTGGGTGACAGAGGTCGGACGAGGTACAGCTGGCCTTGCGGCAGTTCGATCAACGATTCTTGGCTTGTAGATCCGAAGATGAGTTTGCCAACTGAATGTGCACAGAGTCAGCGATGATAGACTTCGTGACTAAGATAGGAAGAAGGTCTGAAGAAATGTGCTGACGGACGAAATGGAATGTCAAGGAGGGGAAGCGAAATCGCGATTACAGCAACCGCGGGTTGGCGCCAACAAGAGGGGGAGGTTGCGAGCAGGGTGCTGTTATTCGATGCGGGGCAACGTACCGTTTCTGAGGACAAACATGATGGAGGGTGGTGAGGCTGTTATGTGGAACTTGGGAGAAGCAGAGCTTGTAGGTTAAACTCGCATGCCCAGATCGGAGGTCTCTTTTCTCTTTCTTGTCGATGTTGGCAAGGAACAAAGAGCAAGCACCTTCCAGACAGTAGGCCGCGACGTGGTCGACTTGTGGTGGGAGAGAGGTATCACTGATCGATCTGCGGCAGGAACCGTGTGGGAGAAGCCTGCTGCGTCATAATAAACACTGTTGGTTTTTTTGGTTGGAGGGGTAGACCTTGTGGCGGTGCGTGGCCATATTTCGCCACATTCCGGCTGCCTAGCGTGCTACAATCACGTGCGTCACATGCCACGTCCGTTCCCGTCCAACATGGCACGGACCAACTCGTCTGCCTACCCATCCTGGTACCTGTGTCTGTGTAAGACAGTTATGTCATGGCGGACAGTTTCAAGCTTGCATGAAGTTCTGCTGCCTTTGCTTCACTTTGTAGCGAAGTTGGAGACACACGTTCTGCAACATTTGAAAGTGGAACTGCACTGTAAAAACACTAAATGTCGTGATTTTCAGCTCCCGCCTCCATACTAGATAGTCAGGTGAGGCAGATGATGTAAAATTGTAGGACTAAACGCCACGGATTGTAAATTTTCAGAAGTTACAAGGATCGCGATCAGGAACTCAGAGCTCTTGTTGGACCACCTCGTCAGCCACTCCAAGCACTTCCTGCACAGGCTCCTCGGCCTTGTTATCGACAGCAGGAGCATCAAGCACATTCTTCTCGGCATCCGCCACGAGCTCATCTGCAATGAGCCTGGCAACGTTCTTGCCCATTAGAGCGCTGGTCTCCATGGTAGAGATGAAGCTCTCAATACCTGAAGTGTAGTATAGCCCGTTGCCGAGCGCGGGCTCCTGGAACGTAATGCGAGGGTATTCCATAGGGTACGAGTGAAACGCATGGGGGTAGTACCACGAAATAGGGTCGACAGTGACTGTCTCACCCTCAACGGCCTCCTTCTGCTCCGAGACAAAAGTATCAGGCACCTTGACACCAAGAAGAGCGGACAAGAACTCTGGGGTCAGCTCTGCGGGCGAAAAGATTTTGTATGCAAACTCTTCCTTGAGTGTCTTTGGGTTGACGATGGTCCTCAGGGTGCTGATAGAATAGAAGCCAGCCTTGCCAGCACCAGCAGATCCAGGTTTGGGGAGTTCCTCGCTTCCAAGCGTAGTAAGAACCGTATCAGGTGCCTTCGAGTCAGCCGGCAAGCCAAAGTAAGTAGGTGACAGCAGGAATGGAGAGCAGAAAAGAGTGACATGCAGTCGCGTGTAAGGGATGCTATCGATGGTCTTCAGGACATCTCTCTCGGCGTCAATGTCAGCAAACTGCCAAGGTGTTGCAATCACCACGTTGTCGAAGGATGTTTGGTGCAGCTTTGCCGTCTCTGCGCTAGATCCCGTGGCTTTAGTTGAGATAAGATATTTTGCTGGCGCAGCCTGGTCCGTCTGGTTCTTGAGCGTGATCGATGCGACTGACGTCTGCTGGTAAACCGTGGCGTTGCTGTGCTCTAGCATGCTGCTGAAGATCTGCCAGTTGCCGCCAACAACCTGTGAGGCGCCCTCTGGAGCCATCGAAACCTTGGGAACAGTCAGTACGGTCGCGCAATAATTATGACTGTGCATTTTACCATAGTCTCAAGACCGTGAATGTAGGGGAGGTTGGACGCGTAGTTCACGCGAGTTGCAGCCTGCATGATTTCGCGAGAGAATTGTTCGGAAATCTACATTACGATGAGTAACCAAGCATTACGTTCGAGTTCAGGGATACAGACTTCATTTTCGGCAAGAAACTGGGTTCCAGTGATGCCGGTGATCTTGAGAAGACCCAAGTCTTGTGCCACCTGGGTGAGAGACTGGAAAGGGAAGTGCGGTGCTTCGTAGATCTGGAGAAATGCAGCAACGGTAGACTTGACGAGATTCTGCGCTTTGTAAGGAGCAGTTCCATACTTCCAGAAAAGCTTGGCCAAGTTCCACCAGCCCCAAGAGCGATCATCCTGGATGAAGACAAACTTTTCGCCGTCCCAGATGCCCAACGTCTCGCCACTACCGGACTCGGGGTCCTTGAGTGCAAGGTTGAATTCGCGGGTTGCATTGATCAGAATGTAATTGGCGTCAACGAAGATTGAAGCTCCGAGCTCGATGGGCTCGCTAGGGCTGTCATAGGCGTTGACGGTTAGTGTTCGACCACCGATTCGATCCGTTCGCTCGAACACAGTTATGTTCACGAGAGACCCATCCTCTTCGGCAAATTTGCTGAGGTAGTAAGCCGCCGCAGATCCACTGGCACCAGCACCTGAGACTCGTGTCAGTTACAGCAAGGTCGCGCGCTGGCTAGTATGCTTCATCATCTAGGGCCCTTGGAAGATAGGAACAGAACATGACATAGATGTCTTGTGACACGAACACAGCAACAGGTCTTGGCTGATATGAGTTATGAGATGAGTGAAGGACATCACGAACCAATGATAGCAACCTGCTTGACGCCCCCATTTTCAACGACGTCAGCTGCGGGGGCAGTTAGACTGAAGGCCGAAAGGACCGTAGAGAGCTTCCAGAACATGGCGTCGTGGGGTTACGAGGACCAATTAAATAAGTTCAGATACTAAGGAGTGACAAGAATTGGTTTTTGATGGCTGCTTATAACACAGTCCTCCGGCACGAAGGTGGCTGATGAAAGAAGTCAGCAAAGCTGTCTGTGATGATGCTGGTTTAAAGGGGGCCACGAGCAATGGGAGGTACAGGGAAAGCTATTGTGGGGTCAAAGGACCCTGCATGTCGCGTCACGGCACGAAGTCACGTGCCAGATTCACCGAGCTTTCATCGTTCACCGAGTTTCGGTCGAATCTGTTGGAGCCTTCTGTAGCCCACTGACCGCCCTCAACCGTAAGGCAGAAAAAAGTTCCCGCATTTTGGAGCTTCCACACATGGGTCAACCACGCCGGAAGTGCCACCAGCCCAACGTCGACAATCTGTACGAGCTTATTGCGACTACACGAACCTCGACATCGCATCCCGCAACTGCCCAACATGTCTGCCGCACAACTATTGAACCCCAAGGCCGAGTCCAGAGTCCGTCATATCCACCCCTTTCGCCTCTGCGTGACCTGCTTTGCTAATCTGTCGTAGCGGCGGGGTGAAGCTCTGAAGGTCAACATCAGCGCAGGAGAGGGCCTTCAGGATGTCCTGAAGTCCAACCTCGGCCCTCTCGGCACCATCAAAATGTTCGTATTGCCGACTTCAACATGGTAGCGTTTTGCTAATCAGTACACAGGCTTGTCGACGGCTCCGGACAAGTATATCTCGACCTACGCCCCGCCGCCCCTGAGAATCCGCTAATTTCTTGGCCCTCTAGATCAAGCTCACAAAGGATGGAAACGTCCTACTTCGCGAGATGCAAATACAGAACCCGACTGCCGTCATGATCGCTCGCGCCGCCACCGCGCAAGATGATATCTGCGGTGATGGCACTACCTCAGTGGTGCTGCTCGTTGGAGAGCTCCTCAAGCAGGCCGACCGATACATATCCGAGGGCTTGCACCCGCGCGTCATCACTGATGGTTTCGAGATCGCCAAGAATGAGGCTCTCAAGTTCCTCGAAGACTTTAAGCTTCCCAAGGAGGTCGACCGTGAGCTGTGCCTCAACGTCGCCCGCACCTCGCTGGCTACCAAACTCAACCCCACTCTGGCCACCAGGCTGACACCCGCCATTGTCGATGCGGTCCTTTCCATCTACCAGGCTCCCGCTAAGCCTGATCTGCATATGGTTGAGATCATGAAGATGCAGCATAGGTCAGGATCCGATACCCAGCTCATCAAGGGCCTCGCCCTCGACCACGGCGCCAGGCACCCCGACATGCCCAAGCGTCTCGAGAATGCCTTTATTTTGACTATGAATGTCAGCTTGGAGTACGAGAAGTCGGAGATCAACTCGGGCTTCTACTACTCTAGCGCGGACCAGAGGGACAAGCTCGTGGAGAGCGAGCGCCGGTTTGTGGACTCGAAGCTCAAGAAGATCGTGGAGCTGAAGAAGGAGGTCTGCGGCAATGACCCAAAGAAGAGCTTCGTTATTGTCAACCAGAAGGGTATCGATCCCCTGTCTCTTGATGTGCTGGCGAAGAACGGCATCCTAGCCCTGCGCCGCGCCAAGAGGAGGAACATGGAGAGGCTCCAGCTTGTTTGCGGTGGTATTGCTCAGAACAGCGTGGATGACCTTACCCCCGACGTCCTCGGCTGGGCTGGTCTCGTTTATGAGCAGCAGCTTGGCGAGGAGAAGTACACCTTCATCGAGGAGGTGAAGGACCCCAAGTCCGTCACGCTCCTGATCAAGGGACCCAACGCACACACCATCACTCAGATTACGGATGCCGTTCGCGACGGTCTGCGTAGCGTTTATAACATGATTGTCGACAAGAGCGTGGTTCCCGGCGGTGGCGCTTTCCAGGTTGCGTGCGCCGAGCATCTCAAGAGTCATGACTTCCTCAAGACGGTGAAGGGCAAGAGCAAGTTTGGTGTTGAAGCGTTCGCGGACGCCCTCCTCATCATTCCCAAGACCCTGGCGGCCAACGCTGGCCATGATGTCCAGGATGCTCGTAAGTCAAATTTCCTGTACGGAAGGAGAATACATAACTAACTCGCCATTTTAGTTGCGGACATGCGTGATCAGTGCATCAACGGCGAGGTCGTCGGTCTGGATTTGTCGACTGGTAAGTCGATGGACCCCGAGCTCGAGGGTATCTTCGATTCCTTCCGTGTGCTTCGCAACTGCGTTGCATCAAGCTCCAGCATCGCCTCGAACCTTCTGCTTTGCGACGAGCTCCTCAAGGCTAGGCAGATGGGCAGGCAAGGTGGTCCTGGCCCTGGCATGGATGGCCCCGAGCAGTAAATCAGATGATGGGTACGAGTTTCACAGGTCTGGCATGATAGATAAAAAGGCGCTGTTCTTTAGACGAGTCGACCCTGGAATGATATCCTCCATGTGCTTCAAGAACTTGAAACTGAGCATGAATAAGTCGAAGCGATGTACTCGAGCTTGAAGAGCGAAATAAGTGTGACCGCAGCACTGACGAGGGCACCAATCACCTGGTTCGTCCACACGTTACGGTCCATTCGCTGCCCACGATGTCAATTCAGGGGCGCTGAGAAAAGAAGTCACGAGCATGCCAACTGCTCAGTAACAAGACATTCTGCTGGTCATTGAAAACAAAGGGAACGATACTCGTCATGATAGTAACGTAGGTACCTCGATGCAAAGGACAGCATAACTTGTCAAAGGCGCTTCTGGTTGCACTAGAGCGCCGTAGCACTGATAAGATAAGCCCCGCGCCAAAGACAACTTCAGGTCCCTCAGAAGCAAAAATTTAGAGCCCCGCGGCGCAACTATACCAGCAGCCAACTAACTGGGGAAGACTATAGAAGCAAAATGCCTTCGTACGACAGTGATTCCGACGTCGATGACGCCAAGTCATTCACTGAAACCAGCGTTCTTCTCGGCTACGCATCCAAAGACGCAGGCGAAGACTCTATCAGTCGTTTGGGTGGCTCCCCAGTAAGTTTAGCTTTACCCCTCCATGTCAATGCGCCCAACCTAACAAACATTCTAACCATCTGACGCAGGAATGGCTTAACCCTGATGTAGCGCCTTCTGCCAGCCTTGCAAGATGTAAGGTGTGCAACGAGATGATGGTTCTCCTTCTCCAGCTGAACGGCGAGCTCCCCGAGAAATTCCCTGGCCACGACCGTCGCCTCTACGTTTTCTCCTGCCGAAAACAGGCCTGCCGTCGTAAGCAAGGAAGTGTTCGCGCTATCCGAGGTACAAAGATATCAAAAGAGGCTGCTGCCTCTGCGGCACTCGCGAAAGAAGCAAAAGCAGCCGAGGACGCTAGGAAGAAGGCCGAGGCCAGCAAACCAAAGAATGACGGCCCTGGGTTGGGAGAAGCCCTCTTCGGTGCTAAGCCGGGCGCATCGGGCGCCAACCCCTTCGCTTCATCCGCGAATCCCTTCAGCAGTAACAGCGCGAGTGCGAGCGCCAGTGCCAACCCTTTCAGCTCCGGACCATCGAACCCCTTCGCCTCTACGCCCGCGGCGCCCAAGCCCGATGCGCCCAAGCCAGAACCTCCCAAGGCTGAGGAGGTGACGCCAAAGGAACTCTCCAAAACCTTTGCGGAAACCCTGTCCCTCAACAACACACAAAAGCCTGTCGGCCCTCCACCTGCTCCTGAACCCTGGCCACAGGCCGCGAGGCTGCCGAAACCTTACCCTGTTTCGTACCTTGCTGAAGCAGACTATGAGATCCTGGAGCCCGAGGCACAGGCTGTGCCGCAGAATGTGAGCATGGATGTTGACGATACCAATGCTGATTCAGGCCCCGGATCAGGTATGGATAAGGAGGTTTTTGAGAGTTCTATGGACGCCATTTTCCAAAAGTTCGCGGATCGCCTGGCGCAGAACCCGGACCAGTCGATCAGATATGAATTTGGCGGTCAGCCACTTATCTACTCCAAGAAGGATGCTGTTGGTAAAGTCCTCATCGCAGCTGCAGCCGTGGGTCGAAGCGGCATGCCCGGATGCGGCAACTGCGGTGCTGGGAGGGTGTTTGAGGTGCAGTTAACGCCACAGGCCATCACTGAGCTCGAATCGGAAGAGCTGGGACTTGAAGGCATGGACTGGGGCACGATCATCGTTGGCGTGTGCGAGTCAGACTGCCAGGAGAGGACCGTTGGGGAGGGAGAGGCTGGATACCTGGAGGAATGGTGTGGTGTGCAATGGGAGGAACTACAGCAGTGAGTTGGGGTCAGCGTGATGCTGTTGTTGACATTTGCCCCATCCAAGATCTTTCACGACCTGCATTGAAGGGCGTTTTTTGGAGGGATTCAAAAGCATGCACAGAGCAAATGATGACGATGTGCAAGCCACATGGTGACGTCCGAGAGCGTGAAATTCATGACCATTTGAGGCCCAAGCCTCCAGCTTTTTGCATTCCTCATGTGCGGGCCTCTATGACATGACCCCTAATTCCAAAGCAGGTAAAAACGCCGATGATTGCCGCCATGCTTCCCTGCCCAAACTCCCCGGATGGAGCTCTTACGCGGTTTCCTCCCATGTCCTCCGAATGACCCTGGAGAACATATCGATACCAACATCCTCCCTGATCTCGGCCTTCTTGGCCTCGTTCTCAGGGTTGCTGGGGATGATGACTTCGCCGTTCTCGACCTTCCAGCCGCACACCTCGCTGACGTACTTCGAGGCCGCGTCACCTTCCAGGCCGAGCCATGCCTCCAGCTGAGAAAGGCTGACCTGGCGGTAAGCCTGGGACAGGAGGACGGCTACGTTCTGTCGGATGATGTCTTCGAAGCCAGCGATATCGGCGATCAGGTCGGCGACAAGGTCGTCACCGTCGACGGCATTCCAGAAGCGCGCGTATTCGGCACCCTCGAGCCAGTTGTTCAGCGATCGCAGCTTGCCAATGGCCTCAGCGAGCTCGCCTTGGGCGGCGGCGGTGGGGTGGATGATGTGCATGGCGAGGCTGAACTGAGAGGAGGGGAACTGGGTCATGGCCTTGACCAGGATGTTGGTGACGACCTCATCCTTGGTGCGGTCGGGGTTGAGCTGGTACCTAAGCGTCGCGAAAGCGGGGATTAGCGATGCGATCTCGCGACACATTGGCTGATGAGTGGATTGTGCAAGACGATGTGCTCAGTAACACTTATGTTCACTTCAAGCAGCAAAGCTGTTTTCAGGTAATAGGAAACGTTGACTAGTCATCATGGCATTCGATAGAGGAGACCGGAAGGCTATGCGCATCGCGAAAAGGGGTCACTCACAGCTTCAGGAGCGTTCTGTTGGCATTGCAATCGGTGTACTTTTGTTCGCACTGCTCGGTGAGGTAGCCCTCAAGAGTGCCTACAGCCTCGGGGTTGTATCGCTCAAGTCCATTGATGATGTTGACAATATAGTCGGGCCTCTCGGACGGATCTTCGCCGTTCATCTTGAGAGAGTGTCGGCGGCTGTCGTCGACGTCGTGATGTGGTTTGGAGGGGGCTCGATGGTGGGGCAGGCGTGGAAAGATTTCCAGCGTCGACGTTGGGTTGTGTGCGCTGGATACACATGTGGATTAGGGCCGGAATGCGGCAAAAGATAAACCCGGGTCAGGGGTCTGGTCGTGAACCCACACGTCAGCCTAGCGCACGTGCCTTCGTGTGGAGGTCGCGACACTGCGTCATTGACTGACACGCCCTGCACCGGGTGGTTATCATTTGTAGTGCAGTATTTGTCTTGACACTCAAGTTGTTGGCGTTCGCAATTATCCGACTGCTTTAAACCCAACAGTCGCCATAGGTTTGTGTCTAATACGTGTAGTGATTCGCCTTATATCGCGCGCTTATCATGCCAACACCGCGCGCATCACCATATCCACCGCCTCCGTGAGCATCATGCCGAGTCCGACGAAGAAGCGGAAGCTCAACAAGGATGCAAGTGGCCCAACATCGCGTGGTCTTGAGTATTTCTTCTCGAAACAGAAGCAAGGCGACTCATCGGCTGCTTCTACACCGCCACAACTAAAGCAGGATGTTGGCGAGGCTCCCAAAAGTGAACAGGAACTCACCGATGAGGAGCTAGCCCGGAAGCTCCAAGCTGAATGGGATAGCGAGGTTCAAAATACAGAAACTCTTTCGGCAGAGTCTCAGCTATCTCTGCGTTGTAGCGCAAGCCCAGCTCTCGATCCAAGTTCTACCGTTTCAGCTCAAGTCGCGAAATCAGCCGCCACGCCCGTGGAAGAAAACACGCTTGCAAGTACAGGACCGAAGACTCTGTCCCTCTCGTCTGCAGCCGCAGCTGGAGACTCACTTTCTTCAACCATACCTCTGGATCAGAGCCCTCTGGTTTTTGACCCTTCAGAGTATGCATCGCACCTAAAAGATCACTGGGCTTCCGAAGGTGGCGATGCTTCATATGCCCTGCTCACCAGGTGTTTCGTATTGGTCAACAGCACGCAATCAAGGATCAAGATAGTGGACACTCTTGTGAATTTCATCAGACTTATCACACAGACGGATCCCGAAAGTCTCCTCCCCGCTGTTTGGCTAGCGACAAACGCGATTTCGCCGCCCTACATTTCCTTGGAACTGGGTCTTGGTGGGTCAGCCATATCCAAAGCTCTAAAGCAAGTTTGCGGGCTCAATGGACCCTCGCTAAAGAATCTCTACGACAAGTACGGCGATGCGGGAGATGTGGCCTTCGAAGCCAAGAAGAAACAGAGCTTCACGCTTCGGAAGCCGAAGCCGCTGACCATCAAGGCTGTCTACCAATCTCTGGTTAAGATTGCCAACACCCAAGGTCAGGGCAGTGGTGAAGTGAAACAGAGAATCGTAGATCGTCTGCTTCAAGATGCAAGAGGTGGCGAAGAAAGCAGGTACATTGTTCGTACACTTTGCCAACATGTGAGTCTGTGTCTTATTCGTTCTCGAAGTCATTTAGCTGATGTTTCAGCTTCGTATCGGCGCTGTCAAAACCACGATGCTAATCGCGCTTGCCCGGGCGTTTTCTATCACTTCCCCGTCTGGTGCAGATTTTGCTGTCCGCGACAGGGGCAGCCTCGCCAAGTTGAAAAAGGAGGAGCTTGCAGAGGTTTGGGCAAAAGCGGAGGAGATTGTAAAAGCCTGCTTCGCGAAAAGGCCAAATTACAACGACCTCGTACCCATTCTTCTCGAGATTGGTGTTTGTGATGAGCTTCTCCTCCGCTGTGGGCTCACCCTGCATATTCCCCTGCGACCCATGCTTGGTAGCATAACGCGAGATCTTACGGAGATGCTTACCAAGCTCCAAGGCCGGGATTTTGCCTGCGAGTACAAGTATGATGGTCAGCGTGCCCAGATTCACTGCGACGTCAAGGGAAAAGTAAGCATCTTCTCGAGGCATCTTGAACTGATGACGGACAAGTACCCCGACTTGGTAGCCCTCATGCCGCAGATTCGGGGTGAAGGTGTCGACAGCTTTGTGATGGAGGGAGAGGTCGTGGCAATCGACCGGCAGACGGGAGATGTAAAAAACTTCCAAGCTCTGACCAACCGCGCCAGAAAAGATGTCGCAATCGGGAGTATTCAAGTCGATGTCTGCATGTACTCCTTCGACCTGATGTACCTCAATGGGGAGCCACTACTTGACAGACCTTTCCGCGAAAGGAGAGAGCTCCTTCGGTCGATGTTTATCGAAGTCCCCCACCAGTTTACATGGGTCAAGAGCCTAGACGCTACTTCGCAGGATTCCGATGCAGTGCTCGACTTCTTCAAATCTGCTACCGACGTCAAGTGCGAGGGTATCATGGTTAAGATCCTGGACAATTTGACCGAGATACCTTACCAAGGGGGCGAGGTTGACGCCCCTGTGGATGAGATGGAGGAACCACAGACACCTTCAAAACGTAAGGTTACGGGGAAGACCGCTGAGAATGGCGCGAAAAAGAAAACGCGACGTAAACCGCTGCTGGCAACCTATGAGCCCGACAAGCGACTCGACTCATGGCTTAAGGTCAAGAAAGATTACAACGCAAGTTTCGACACCATTGACATGGTCCCTGTGGCTGGTTGGCATGGCCAAGGGCGCAAGGCCAAATGGTGGTCGCCGATTCTGCTTGCTGTCCGCAATGAAGACAGTGGCTCGTTTGAGGTTGTGTGCAAATGCATATCAGGCTTTACCGATACCTTTTACAAAGCTAATAGGGAGTTTTATGACGACGGTAGCGGAGGAAGCGGCGTTATACAAAATATTCGTTCCTCAAAGCCTGCCTTTATTGAGTACTCCGGACCGGAACCGGATGTCTGGTTTGAGCCGCAGGAGGTTTGGGAAATGGCGTTCGCGGATGTCACGCTCAGCCCGACATACACAGCAGCAATAGGCTTGGTGAGCGAGGAGCGAGGCTTGAGCTTGCGATTTCCGAGGTTCTTGAAGAAACGTGATGACAAAGGCTTGGATGAGGCGAGTACGAATGAGTTCTTGGCCTCACTCTTCAGGAAACAAGAATTGAAGACGATACCTGCGGCAGTAGATGCGGCAGAGGATGAATGATTCTCAGCCTTACCATCAATGATGAGGCGATACGAAGCTCTGAGACCACAGGCATCGTGTAGAGGGGAGTCGTGCGCTCATAACTTCTATAGCACGCTCGCAATAGCTGGGTCGGACCACGTTTCAAAAGAACACCGTCTGCCAAAATCATTCGAAACCACTGTGACATCGCAGTGCTCAGATCAACCTTGAATCATTTCACAGCATTCATGCGCTGGGCGACCAGGCTGAAGACGGCAACTGATCCCATGAAAAGTACTGCGTTGTAGAACTGTGCCGAAAGTCAGTTATCGCTCTGTTGCCGGTTTGTTGTACTTACCGCTTTTCTGGACACCGCGCGCTCCTCATCATCTGTCCGAGACTCAATAAAAAGTCGTCGCAGGTTTGGAAAGTTCGCCTACCAAGTCAGAACTTACATCACGTCCTAGTTTGTTTAAGAAGGAGACTCACCATTGCATTCGCGGGGCTAGCGAAGAGGTGGCGGGTCGAACTTGGCAGTCGCCTGATTAACTCAAATATTGGGCTTTCGGAATCGCTTCAATGGCTGCTGCATTTCGCCATCCACTCATATATTGATTGATGGGGATGGGAGCATGAGCAAACTGGAATTCCTTGAGATCAGCTCAGCCTCTTGGTTGACTTGCTTCGCTCGGTACAAGCATGCGACCCCATGGTGGAGCTGTCAGAGATATGCACATGTCCGATAGTCCCATCATTAGGCAGGGCCCCATGAAAGGTCCAAGTGTCAGGAGGCACCCGCGAGCTCGCCCATCCCCAACTTGTCTATTTGGCGACTCCGACGACCTGCATCTAGTGCATCAAACACTGCGAACACGATAACCAGCCCGGCAGCGCGAATCTCGCGGCGACAATTTTCCAGCTCCAAGAAGGACTGGCAGCCCCAACCGCCCGTTGCCTGATCCGCACCTACACGACCGAAACCGAGCACTCGTGCCCCTCCACCTCCTGATTAGCTTCCACGATGGCGGTCAACCGCATTCGGGGGGCTTTCGCTCCGCCCAAGAAGGGAGAGACGTTTGAGTTGCGTGCCGGCTTGGTGTCTCAATATGCCTATGAGCGCAAGGAGTCCATTCAGAAGACGATCATGGCTATGACGCTAGGCAAGGACGTGTCTGCGCTGTTTCCTGATGTGCTCAAGAACATTGCAACTGGTGATCTGGACCAGAAGAAGCTTGTCTACCTTTACCTAATGTAAGTGGCATATTCTTTGGAAGCAGCGCTTCTACCATGGGCCTGGGCGTCGCTTTGGATGCTAACAATCACAGGAACTACGCAAAATCGCATCCCGACCTCTGCATTCTCGCCGTCAACACGTTCGTCCAAGATACAGAAGACCCCAACCCATTGGTTCGCGCTCTCGCCATTCGAACCATGGGCTGCATCCGTGTCGACAAGATGGTCGATTATATGGAGGAGCCCCTGAGAAAGACGCTCCGAGACGAATCCCCTTACGTGCGCAAGACGGCCGCTATTTGTGTTGCCAAGCTCTTTGACCTGAACCCGGCAATGTGTATTGAGAATGGCTTCCTAGAATCGCTTCAGGAACTGATCAGCGACTCCAACCCGATGGTCGTCGCAAACTCTGTCCAAGCTCTAGCAGAGATCAGCGAGACGGCGCCGGAGACACGAGCTCTCGTCATCACCCCTGCGATATTGAAGAAGCTGCTGCTTGCGCTTAATGAGTGTACGGAGTGGGGACGTGTCACCATTCTGTCGACACTGGCCGACTACCCTACCCAGGACGTCAAGGAGTCGGAGCACATTTGTGAGAGGGTCACGCCACAGTTCCAGCACGTCAACCCGAGCGTGGTGCTGGCAGCTGTGAAGGTTGTCTTCATCCACATGAGGTCCATCAACCCCGAGACCGTCCGATCATACCTGAAGAAGATGGCCCCACCTCTGGTGACGCTGGTAGCCTCGGCCCCCGAGGTGCAGTACGTCGCGCTGCGCAACATTGATCTTTTGCTCCAGGCCAAGCCAGACATTCTCAGCAAGGAGTTGCGAGTCTTCTTTTGCAAATACAACGACCCGCCGTATGTCAAGCTACAGAAGCTTGAGATTATGGTGAGGATAGCAAACGACAAGAACTTTGACCAGTTGCTGGCCGAGTTGAAGGAGTATGCTTTGGAAGTCGATATGGATTTCGTCAAGAGGGCCGTCAAGGCGATCGGCCAGGTGGCCATCAAGATCGAATCTGCCAGCGAAAAGTGCGTCAATGCGCTTCTGGATCTGATCGCCACCAAGGTCAACTATGTTGTGCAGGAGGTCGTCGTCGTGATCAAGGACATTCTGCGCAAGTATCCTGGCTACGAAGGCGTCATCCCGACTCTTTGTCAGTACATTGATGAGCTAGACGAGCCAACAGCACGTGGCTCGTTGATCTGGATTGTTGGAGAGTACGCCGAGAAGATTAGTAACGCCGATGAGATTCTCGCCGGGTTCGTGGAAGTGTTCATGGAAGAATTCACTCAGGTAAGTGGCTAGTACCATTGAAGGCCGGATCATGACTAACGTCGTTCAGACTCAACTGCAAATTCTCACTGCGGTGGTGAAGCTCTTCCTCAAGAAGCCCGGGAGCAATCAGGAATTGGTACAGAAGGTGCTGCAATCAGCCACAACAGACAACGACAACCCAGATATTCGCGACAGGGCGTACGTTTACTGGCGACTTCTGTCGGGCGATCTCGATGTTGCCAAGAGCATTGTTCTGTCTCACAAGCCGGCGATTGCCACTACCATGTCCAGTCTACCTCCTGCGCTGCTCGAACAGCTTCTTTCGGAGCTCTCAACCTTGGCCTCTGTCTATCACAAGCCGCCCGAGTCGTTCGTTGGCAAGGGACGGTTCGGTGCGGACGAACTCCAGCGTGCGGCCATCCGTGAACTACGACAAGATGCGGCGGAGAATCCGATCGCAGCATCCGTGGCCGCAGCTGCCAACGGCACAGCCCCACCACAAAACAACATCGAGAATCTCCTGGATATTGATTTTGACGGCGCGGCGCCTGCGTCAGCGGAGCAGCAGAGCAACGTCAACACACCCGACAGGATGGCCAGCCCCGCAGGCGGTGCTCCATCTGGCAACATAGCCGATATGATGGGTCTTTTTGACGCTCCGCCGCCCCAACAGCAGCAGAACGTCGGCGGCAACGCGGGGGGCAGCGGTATGAACGATATGATGAACGGATTCGCGGATCTGAATTTCGGAGGCGCGTCATCGTCATCCCAGCCTCCGCCTGCGGCGATGCAATTGCACCCGCAACAACAGAGTGGCAGTGGGGAGAAGAAGACGAACGAGGATCTCCTGGGCTTGTTTTAGACGGGTGGGGAGGCTGCAATGCGCGGAAAAGGGGAGCGCTTTATGCTCAATGGAGGCGTCTCGGCATTTTGTACGTGCAGCGCTGGATGATCAAATATATAGTCGGGTTGAAGCACGACTACCTCCTTCCAAGAGACAGATATCAGTGTCTGTCTGTGTGGTGAAAACCCAAGGTGATGTTTTGCTCAAATTTCAAGGATATTGTACCACTCTATCCTGGTGAATCATAGTCCCGGTCCGCCTTCTCTCGCGCTGCCCTGCGTTTCCGTAACGCCATGTCGTCCTTGCGATATGTACTTCCTGCCCAGACATTCGGTCTCCCGTCCTCTAGTTAGGGTCACCCACTATCCGCTCACGCCGTCCACCTTGCCGCCGACCGTACCGTCGAGGGGCGGCCCATCGCTCACGCCCGAAGCGGCGCGATCGCGCTCCCACTCGGCGGGGGTTTGGCACTTGGCGCTCCAGGCGTGGATGCGGGCGATCTCCTCCTTGAGTGCGGCGTTGACAAGTCGGTGACGCTTGAGGGAGGACTGCTTTTCGAACTGAGGAGATATGATGAGGGATGTGAAGGATTGGCCGCAGCCGCCTGTGTCTCTGTCAGTACGTGCTCGAGCGACAATGGCGGGCGCTGTTCCTCGACGTAGCCGCGATGGCGGGGCAGGGCCGCGGGGTACGTCTCGAGGGGGTTGAGCGGTGGAAGAGGGTCGTACCGGACATGTCCGTGACCTCGACGTGGACTGCCGTGAGGCGACTGGTCAGGGCCTCCTTGAGGGAGGCTTCGGTTATTTGGTCTGCCATTCTTGGTTGGTTGGACCTGCGATGTTCGACAGCGCACTGGAACACTTGTACGCTCGCTCAGTGCGCTGGGTCTGGCTGTGGGTGTCAACATTTAGGTAGGTATTGATAAGACTGTGGAGCGCAGAGCTGCTTAGTCACGCCTCGACGTCACTGCGACAGTCAGTTGCCATGGAGCTTGGAGAGCTCCCGATTCAACCTCTTCCCGCCCGGATCAATAGTTACACACAACCGCCTCGTCCTGCACGTAGACACGAGTAAGACCGATTGTCCTTCACGGACTCCTACAAGGTGAAGTAAGCATCGTGGCTGATCATATGATTCATCTAGCAGGGGCCTTCATCACAACTATCGAGCTTGCACGTTGGACCACATGAGTTTGAAGCTGCTTCGTGTAAGCTGTAGTCGTCGACTCACTCCCAAGGCCGCCAGAAGCTCTGCGCTTCTGTGGTCTCCTCGATCTTCTCTCTCTGGCTCTGAAACGACGTCTGATTTTCATCCTGCGACGCCTCGCTACTGCTTCAGCACCTCAACGTCCTTGTCAGCTTCAAACATGACGGCTCCCTTTTCAGCTGCGGCGGCTCACGCCGACTATAAGTCGCCATCATTCACGCAGAAGGTTGTCGATGTGATGAGGAAGCAGTGAGTGATCCACCAATGAGTGACTTTTACGCTCGAACCTCGGGCTGATTTTTCTAGCTTCCCCGAAGAGCTGGCTGAACGTAGCTGGGACAACGTCGGCCTTCTCCTGGGCAACCTTGAGACGGGCGGCAGCGAGACCAAGAACGCGAGTCCCGTGGTCCTCGTCACAAACGATCTTACGTATGCTGTTGCCAAAGAGGCCATTGCCAAGAAGGCGAGCGTCATTGTCGCGTATCGTACGTCGTGACCCCCGCTCTCATTCCCCAGCTGAACGTACTCACCTGTGGCCCAGATCCTATCATCTTCTCTGGACTCAAGTCCATCACCTCGAAGGACGCTCAACAGGCCACCCTGATTCTCCTCGCGTCCCACGGCATCGCCGTCTACTCTCCTCACACGGCCCTCGATGCCGCCCCCAACGGCATCAATGCCTGGCTGGCCGACGCCGCTACCGGCTCCGCCAAGGGCACTCGCGCCGCAGCGCGTCTCACCGCCAACCCCCCCGAAGGCTTTACCGGCGCCGGCGCCGGCCTCGTTGTCACCTTTGACGAGCCCCAGACTGCGGGGCACATCGCCTCGTCTCTCGCTGCCGCCACCGGGCACAAGCACCTCACCGTCGCGACACCGGACCGTTCCGCCACGTGGCGCGAGAGGCCCGTCAGGAGCGTCGCCGTCTGCGCGGGCAGCGGCTGGGATCTCATCAAGGACACGGGGGCGGACGTGTTTGTCACAGGCGAAGTGAGCCATCACAGCGCGCTGAAGGCCGTCCAGGATGGCATCTTGCTGTTCACGCTGTTCCACTCCAACTCGGAGCGGGGCTTCCTCCGAGAGAGGCTTGTGCCGCTGCTGCAGGGTGAGCTGACGGCGCTTGAGGCCGGGGCCGAGGTGTACATGAGCGAGGTTGACCGGGATCCCTTTGAGATCATCACGGTGTGAAGGTGAAGACTGGACTGGCGTGGTAGGAACGTGCGGGCGAGTGTCAAGGATAGTCATTGACGATCGACTGGAGCAGTGCAAGGAAATCTCTTGACGATAGAGCGGAGTAGTCCAAGGAAATGTCTTGACGGATGACTAGGCACGTGTACGCGTGGAGGAGAAGGAGAGTTTAGAGGGTCATGCATAGCCAACTTCGAATCATGTGTCGATATCATGGCAAACAAGCGCCTTCTCAAGCACATACGACCACACCCATTGGAAAACTCGGGATCCCGTCCGCTCTCCCATAGATAAGCCAATGAGGGCTGAACTAGTAGTTGGGTCGGTGACGACCAGCGAATCCTCCGTGTTGTATGTTTTTGCCGTTTCGGACTCGAGGTCGTCGGAATAGTTGCCCCCTTGAATCATTGATGGAGCTGGCTCATCGTCAGACTTTCATTTTTTGGGTAGGGTACCTACGTTGTGAAAGGTGGATCCTCTCCGTCTGCACGCTACGCTCGACCTGGAACTGCAAGCGAACCAATCGATGCGTGGCCCTACGCCTTCACTGCATCACGCCCTGCACCACGGCCAAAGAAGCAAGTTTCCCCGCTTCGAGCAGCTGCCACCCGCCCACGGCCCACCCCCCTCCTCCATTCGATCCCCTCTCCCGCAGGTAACCCAGCAGTCCAGCGGGAGCATCAATGGGAGTCTCCATTAACGGATCAGCTTGCCTGACCTTGCCCAGTGCCGGCTGCGACTGTACATCGTTCATTGTGGCGCCAGAACGGTGTAAGACCACCCGGGCTGTGGCCAATCGCCTGCCTCTGAGGGTGTCGTCGAGGGCGCCGATCACCGCTGGGAGCGACCTCTTGACCATCCTCTTCCTACTCCCGTTTATCGGGGGTGGAGGCAGTGAGAGAACAACGTCTGATGAGCAGCAGTGACAGCAGCAGGAGCAGCGGCAGCAGCACAGTCGCACTGGGGCACAGCAGCACTGGAGCCATTGGGACGACACGAGACAGAGCCTTCGAACTCGGGCTGCATCGCCTGGTGCCCTCGACCTGACAGGCGACGACGCAGACCAGAGGCGAACCGTCGACAAACCCAAAAACATCGGCTCTGCCAGGATCTGGGCCGGCGTCTGCAGCGTGGCGCGCTCCCCCGATGGCACACCCCCGCAAACGGCTTTGGTCCAAGGGAGGGGCATGTGCGCTTCGTTGGCAGCGCTCGCCAACCAAAAAAACCCCCAAAAAAAAAGAAGGCGACCTTTCCGTACCTGGCCTATGCTGCGTGGACCTGAGCTTGCACCTGGCGTGACCTGGCATGACCTGATCTACGTATGTACTACCTGACCATCATTCTCCCATCACCTGCTGCAGCGAGAGAGCGAGAGAGCGGGCTGCAGTGCTGCAGCCGTCACACGACCAGGCTCGCCCCACATCTGGGCGCGCTTCTCCGGTCCTGGCCTCGCGTCGTGTCGGTTCGCCGCCTCTTTTGTTGTCTGGGGCTGGACCTGGACCACGAAGACGAGACGAGAGTCTCTCCACTCTGGGCGCGATGCGTTTGGGGGGGCTGCGTGCCTGGCTGCCTGGGTCGTTGCTCTGTGCCTACCGACCTGCCTCCCGAGCTACCTCGCCTTGGTGTACCCAGTCAGGTATGGTACCCAGTCAGGTAAGGCTACCTAGCTAAGGTTTTTCCTCTATTCTGGATTGACGGACTGACTGACTGACTTTGCACCCCCAAAGCAAAAGCCCTTTCGGCCTTTCGAGTCACCTTACCTCACCTCACCTCACCTCACCTCCCCAAGGTACCTAATCATTACCAATTGACGATTGCCGGCCCACCCCCCGTTCCGCCCTCCATCCGTCATTGCGCGCGCGACAGCCAGCAGGAGCCAGGCAAGAGGCGAAAGGCCAAGAAAAAGTCGAACCAGGGTCCAGGTCCAGACAGAGTCGACTGACCACCGCGTGCCTTACCTTTCAGGTGTAGAGAGAGAGAGAGACCCGTCCATCTACCATCCAGACAGACCTGCCCACCTGCTCGCCCCAGGCCTCTACTTGCTACTGACCGACGCCGGGGTCTGCCCTCGTCGGATCCTACCTTGTTGAACTACAAAGACCATGACGCCGCCACCCGCCGCGGCTGGCACCATGGACGACAAGACTAGCTTGACCGCCATCTCGAGTCGAATCTCGACGACGCAGACTGACTCTTCTTCCGCTACTGCTGCTGCTGCTGACGCCGCCGCCGATACTAATACCAAGCCCTTGCCCGCCCCGACCCTCGACGCCGGCAAGCAGACGGCACCTGTTCGCCAGTGCCCTTGTCGCAACAGGGCCAAGAGTGAGTAGAGCCTCTTCGTCTGTCTCTTGTCTTCTGTCTTCTGTCTTCTGTCTTCTGTCTTCTGTCTTCTGCCTGCGGCCTCTGTCTGTTTGTTTGCCTGTCTTTGCTCTTTCCGTCTCCTTCTGTTTTGCTGCGCTGCTGTATTCACTTTCCACGCCCCCCCTCTCTCCAATCTGTTCCTGTCTGTCACGCACGCCCCCTCTGCCACATCCTCTTCACGTTCGCCAGTCAAACCTGTCTCTCCACATCATTCCTGCTTCCTACGCACAGAAACATGGCCACGGTCTCGCCTGTTGGACCCTTGCTTTGGACACTTGCTACGCCACGCGCCAGCTCCAGCTCTAGACCCTAGACTTCCTTTATCCCCCCCCCCCCCCCCCCTTCCGGTCTCGCCCATGCCTGCTTGAGCCATCCTCCGCACGAACGCGAGACACTGACATGCCAACCCCCCCCGTCCCCCCAGATCCAGCTACGGCGCACGAGCCTCCCAGCACAACCACTACCACCACCACCAACACCTCCTCCGCCCCGCATTCGGCCTCGACCGCGCCCCTCGCCGCCATCGATATAAAGCCAACACCGCCGCCTGTCTCGACTGCCGCTGCGGCGCCCATGAACGTCAAGACGTCGCCCACGTCCGCCAAAATGATCTTCTCCGACATGTACAGGTCGCCGCGCTCGCCGCTCTCCAAGATTCGACATTCCGTCTTCGCCGCGCCTCTGCCGCTACCCCATGCTGATTACGACGTCGACCTTCTTAGCAAGGACAAGGCCAAGCAGAAGGAGGCCGTCAGACGTCACCTCGAGGAAAAGGTGCGCAACGATTGGGACTTTGTTTGGCCGCCTGTGTCGGCTGCCGCCTCGGTGCCCGCGCCTGTGCCTCCTCAGTCAACCGAAAACGGCGACGACGTCGCAGCGGACCCCACTCCTCAGCCACCAGCTGAGACATCCCCTTCTGAACCACAACTTGGGGACGACTCGGTGACAGCCGCCGCGGAGAGGAACCGCGAGTCCACAGAGGAGGCGCTCGACGACGGCCCTGACAGTGACGCCGAGTCTGTCTACAGCACCGTGTCGGAAGATCCTGTCCACTACCGGCCACGACTCGACTGGGTATCGGATCTCTCCGACGACGAGGCTCCACCCATGTCTCTCTCGCCCTTCCGCTTCGACACGCCCGAGGCGATAGGCGCCGCCGTGAAAGCCTCGGTCGTCGACAAGCAGGCACAGCGGAGAAGAGCTGTTCGCGAAGAGATGCAGTGGAACGAGGGTCTCGCCTGCTTTGAGGCCCGCCGCAATGCCTGGACGGGCGCGAAAACAGTCCGCGTGCGCCAGAAGCCCATCTCTCCATCCACCTCTTTTGCGTCTCTGTCGCCCAAGCGGCTCTTCCAGCGCACATCTGTGCCCCCTTCTCCGGCGCACCACAGCTCGCCTCCTCAGCAGCGCCGCAGCAACGACGCATCTACCACAAACTCGGACGGCTATGATTCGAAAGATGGCAGTCGCGACCTCAGCGCCCAGCGCTCCAAGGACTCATCGCATTCCACGACGTCGGCTCCGTCCACCGCAGCGTATTCCGTCGAGACGCTGCTGCCTCTCGCACCACCCCTCCTCCCGCCGAATAACCCCATGCGTGCCTCCATCACGCCGGCCGTGTACCTCTCGCTCTACGAAAAAGTCATTCTCCACAATCTCACGCCGTCCTGTCCCGTCAACCTCTCTGACATGATCCGTGCGTGCGTCACGGGCTGGAAGCGCGACGGCGAGTGGCCGCCCCGCCCGGCGCCCGCTGACCCCATGAGCCTCGTGGCCGTGCGGAAGAAGAAGCGTGCCTCTGCGGGGGCAGGTGACGGGCTCGGCACCGCGAGACGCATGAGTTTTGGGTTCCTCGGCCGAGGCGGAGGCGGGGAGAAGGCCGGCGCCGAAGAGAGCAAGGGCGTCGCCAAGGGGATCAGGGGCAGCCTGCAGCGAGTTCTGGGCATCGGTCATCATGCTGCGACTCCGAATGGAAAGAGTGCCGTGGCTTGAGAGATGCACCCTATGAGAAATTTCCTATTGGCCCCGGTTCTCGGGTCACATGTTTGTGTCGGGGTGGGAGAGAAGACCATGGATCCTGGTCCTGGCTGGAAGTCACCGTGCAGAGATTCTATATACCCTTTTCTTTTTTTGACGCGCACAACGAGGTCGATGTAGTAATGAGACTCAATCATGATCAGCCTGGATGTTTTACGTGGCTTCCATGAAGCGTGCACGTTCACATTTTGCTCTGCGCCAGGTAAATACAGAAGCTGCACCAGAGTCTCGTACGAAGCTAAACTCGCCTAGCCATGCTGCCGCCAATGTAATGCTCAACCCGCGTGTACATGCTCGCATTGCTCGTCACTTGAAGTACTTGTCTCAATCCAACATGGCCGTCGTTGTACTGGCCCCTCCAGGCGCCTGGTCGAGCAGGTCAGCGACCCAATGCTCCAGAGCATCCTCCTGGCTGCTCCCGAGGCCGAGTTCCTCCGACTGCTGTCGCCTCTGGTTCATGACGCCCTTGAGCTGGCCGACAAGGCTCGCGACCGCCACGGCGTCATACAGACCCTCCCTCCTCTTCGAAGCGGCGAGCAGCTCGACCGCTCTCGCCGTCACGCGCTTGTCCGCGCACTTCATCGCCACCAGAAAGAGCGGCACCACGACACCAGTCTCGGACGATAGAGTCCACGACTTCGGCGCAGGGCCCGCGGTCGCCGCCGCCTCGGCCACAGGGCCCGAAACGTCCAGGCGCAGGACGTCATCGCATAGTTGAACGAGTCCCTCGGCCGTGCGGTTCGGCACCTCACCGAAGACCTGCGGCCGATCGGGCACCTTGGACGAGAGCAGCATCTGCAGCACGCCGTGCTGGGCCAGGAGCGTGCGGGCCGCGCGGTCGGCGCTGCGTTTGTCGGCGCTGCCCTGCCCCGTCGGCGGCGGCGGCAGGGACGCGGCGAAGATGCCGTGCCTCTGCTGCCAAAGGTCGAACTCGACCGTCAGACGGTGCTTCTCCGCGAGCACGGCCGCGGGGATGCATGACGCCGGCTGGCCCTGGTAGGCCGTGTTCTCCTGCAGGAAGCGCAGCAGCCAGTTGGACATGCGGATGAGCTGCTTCTGCGCGTCGGCGAGGCCGGCGAAGGACGTGGCCGGGCCCGCGCCGCGGGGGCCGGGGCCGGGGCCGGGGCCGATGTTGAGACCGCGCTCCCTCTCCTGCCGCGACACGAGAGCCAGCGCCGGCGCGCGGGCGTCGTCGAAAAAGGTCGCCTGCATGTCGAGCCGGCCCAGCGTGTCGCGGATGCTGCGCATCTCCTCGTCGTCCTCGTCCCCCTCGTGGAACGCGAGCACCTTGTTCATGAGCCGCAGGCCGTTGTCGAGGTGGTTCAGCGCCGCCGGCACGTCGCCGAGGGCGCTCTCGAAGCAGTAGAACAGCACGCAGCAGATGAGCGCCGTCTTGGCCGTCTCGGACCGGCCCGCGCGCGTCCCGTCTCCCGACCGCGTGATGCGAATCTGCAGCGACCGCAGCGCCTTGCCGTACTGCCGCAGCGTCGCGTCGCCGACGGGGTGGCCGCCGCCGCTGCGGCGGCGGCTGCACCCGCCGTTCGAGAGGTCGAGGTGCAGCGCGCTCAGCGCGATGAGCGACTGCCGCACAATCGTCTCGTTCTGGCTCGCGTAGAGCGCCGTCCTGGACCAGAACTCGTTGGGCACGAAGCCCGCGAACTCGTTCGCCCCCTGCACGCAGAAGTAGTGGAGGAGCTGCCGGTCGCGCTGGCTGCCGGGCATGCGGAACGGGATCGAGTAGGCCGTGATGGCCGCCAGGCCCAGCGGCGACCGGCGGCCGGCGACTTCGTCATCGGAGGTTTGCGGTGAGAGCAGAACGCTGCCGGGCGTTCGTGCTGCGTAGCCGTCGCATTTGCGACCCGTCTGCGTGCATTTGAGACAGCTGGGCTTTGCCTCGTCGCACTTGACACGCCGGATGCTTGTTTTGGGTCAGAGTCAAACAGCTGGTAATGCAGGGACCCGGTCGATCTCGGGATCGCGAGGTGTAGACAGACGCTTGGCACTTACCGACATGTCTGGCATCCAGTCCTCACTCTTGGCGTGCTCTTCCTCGTGGTTCTCGACATTTTCTTCGCTTCTCTATCTTTCCCCCCTTTCGCTTCGACGAAGTTCGGTAGTTGGACTGGGCAAAAGTTCCTTGGGATTGGCTGCGTCGTCTATTTCACTGCTCGCGAACTGTGCCGGCGCTCATCTTCTCGCCTTGTGGCGCCACGCGGTACAGCGAGGCGTAGCTCGCTGTCGAAACACGTTCAATTTGAATGCTATTCTCGCCATGCAGCTGACTTGCAGGGTAGGATTTGGCAATTGACGATGCGCCCAATAGGGAGAGGCATGCTCTGCGGATGGCCCAAGTGCCGACGTGTGCGCTTGTGGCACGGCCCGTCACGCTTTCGTTCGCGGCGGTCGAGAGAGACGAAGCTATTTCGCATCCTTGAGAGTCTGTTTCTGAGGAACTTTTGTATGCATCCCGACATGATGCACTAGCACAGTGGCTGCCTACGCGAGGTGATATATATAGCAGCAAGAGAAGATAAGGCCACTCTATTGAATGTCGATCATGTACTTGTTGTATGTTCCGAACGCCACCTTCACGGATCACCTGCTATAATTATCATCATGAAGTTGCCCCCAGGTTCCATATCTGTATTTCTCTCCACAGTAGCTGGCACCAGTTCTGCCTTCTTGCAGAAGCGGCAGTTCAGTAATGACAGCTTCGACTGGGCCACCGTCCAACCTTCACGCAACTTGCAGTACCACGACTGCTATGACAGGTTCAAGTGTGCGCGCTTGAAGGTGCCGCTCGACTGGACAACTGCCAATTCGTCACAATGCGCAAGCTCGTCCCGCTGGGCTGCCATCGGCATAGTCACCCTCCCGGCGTCCGTTCCCGAGACTGACCCGTCATTCGGCGGCACAATTCTCATCAACCCTGGCGGCCCTGGCGGAGGCGGCACTGAAATGGCATTGGATATCGGGGTTTATATACAGGCAATCTTGGACGGAGATCGACACTATGAAATCCTCGGATTCGACCCACGAGGTGTGGCACTGAGCACCCCTCGCGCCGACTGTTACAATGACGACCTCAAACGAGCCGCCGATTTCATCCAGAAAGAGGGGCTGCCGGCGATGACTTCCGGCCCTGAAGCTCTGGCTTACCAGTACCAAGCGGCAAGGGGCCTGAGTGACCTCTGTGCAGAGGCTGGGGAGGACAGCATCTTCAACTACATGTCGACCGCCTCTGTGGCTCGCGACATGGTCGAGATTGTGGATCGCGTTGACGAGTTGCGGCACAAGAACTTGACCTCGGCGGAGGATGAGAAGCGCGAGCTGCCGAAACTGCAGTATTTTGGCATCTCGTATGGCACCATTTTGGGCAATACCTTTGCCTCAATGTTTCCTGGCCGCGTGGGAAGGATGGTGCTTGATGGCGTAGCCGACGCCGACGACTATATCAGCGGTGTAAGGCTTTCTCTCTCTCTCTGATCATTGATCGTAGATGGCTCTTTGAGTGCTGACGAAGATTAGACTTGGGCGAAGAACCTCAACGATGCTGAAGTTGTCGTCGACAAGTTCTACGAGACTTGCTTCCACGCTGGAGACCTCTGCCTCCTGAAACAGGAATCAGATGGCAGCGCGGCTGACATCAGGAAGCGCGTGGACGACTTCATACAGGAGTTGGTCAAAACTCCCATCATAACCGTTGCCGGAGGCCGCGTCCGTTTTGTCACGTCCCTCATCGTCCGCGACACCATACGCCGAGCTCTCTATTCACCGATCAAGGCATACGAACTGCTGTCCATTGTTCTCGCCACCACCCTTGCGGGCGATTACAGCCTCCTGCTGCAAAGTCCAGCGGTCAACAATTACGAGCGCAAGGATGTCTGTGTCGTGCCAGGCGACTACTACCCTCCTCAGAATTACACCTGGGACAGCGAGGCCGGAATGGGTGTGCTTTGTGGCGATTCCGCTATCAAGGCCGGCGAGCGCAACAACGGTTCCTGGGCTGCGAGTATAGTCGAGCAGCTTGATGCCCAGTCACCAACTGCTGGAGAGCCTTGGGCGCGGATTCCGCTTTCCTGTTCGGGGTGGACGTTTCAGCCGAAATACGCCTTTAGGGGTCCGTTCGGCCACTTGGATCTCGACCTTTCGAAGACAGAAGACAAGCCCGCGGCTCCGCTCCTGATTCTGTCGACGCGACACGACCATGCTACACCACTTGCCAACGCCGAACATCTGTCGACGCTTTATCCCGGATCGGCCGTCGTCATCCAGGAGTCTGTGGGCCACTGCGCTTTGGTCACCTCCAGGAGCGAGTGCACTGCGCAGCATTTGCGGACGTACTTTGACATCGGAAAGGTCCCGAGAAGCGGGACCACGTGCGAGGAAGACTGCTCCCCTGGGATCCCTTTTGTGCCCTGTCCAGGTTTCGCCGATACGCCGAGTTGAGGCAAGCCAAATGCAATAGCATCGAGTCAAACGGCTTAAGGTGGGCAATGCAAACGGAGACGGATAGAGGCACTGTAGCTAATTAATGTCACGAAAGATACCGCAATGACAGCATTGCAGTGTTGAGCTGCCTTGTAACTGTCACGAGTTTGTGCTAATTACATTTGGCTGCAGACCAGTTCTAAGCGCAGATGGCTCAATACTCGTACCGTATACTCTACACCACGAAGCTGGAGGTGACCGCTGTCTTGATGTCCCTCGAACTGAATCCCATCCGGAACTCGAAATCTCCGCTTGGAATCTCCCAGTTCTGCGCAACGACGTTCCAGAAACTCACATCGCGCCGTCGGAGAGGGAGCGTCACACTTTTGGCCTCTCCCGGCTGCAGACTCACTTTCTCGAACCCACGCAGCACGCTCACAGGAGTACCCTCTGGCACCGAAGCTTGGGGGAATGCCATGTACAACTGCACAACCTGCGCGCCGGCCACATCGCCCGTGTTCCTGACTGTCACTGTCACAGAGCCAATCTCCTTCCACAGAGCTGGATTGCCGCCAGGGTGGGTGCCGTTCGTCCGAGGGGGAAGCGGCGAGATGCCAGCGCACTTCCTCTCAAACGTCGCATTGGATCCCATTTCAAATGTCGTGTAGCTCAGGCCAAAGCCGAACTCGTACTGAGGCGTGATGTTCCTGGCATCAAAGTGGCGGTAGTCGATGAATTGACCTTCTGTGAAGTCTGCCTGCCACGCCGCTGAATCGCGTGCCGCGTCACCGGTAATGTTGACTATGGGGAAATCATAGTCAGACTCCTTCTTCGGGATCGTGTAGGGTAGGCGGCCTGACGGGTTGACATCGCCGAAAAGAACATCCGAAATGGAGTAGCCGTTCTCCTGACCGGGATAGTGAGCGGCCAGGATGGCCGTCACGTTTTCGTTATCAGCCCAGGGCATCGTGTTGACGCCGCCAGAGTGCGTAACCACGATTGTGTTGTTGCAGCGGCGCGCCACGTTCTCCACGACGACGGTCGAGTTCCAGTCGTTTTCGAACGAGAGGCGGTCGGTGCCTTCACGTGCCCAGGTCTTTAGGAAAACGAGGCAGACCTCTGGCGTGGGATAGATTGACGTAAAGTCATCCTCCACCATCATGTGATTGTCCAGCAAGTACTGAACCCTGCCCCCATAGTCCTCAATCCGACCGCGCAAAGCAAACAGAGGTGAGATGAGACGCGTGTGTCGGCCGGCACCCGAACCTCCGCCAACGGATAGCGCGCCGATGTTGGGACCCCAAGGCCCGCTGTCATCGCCGGTGAAGGTCAGGCCCTGCGTCACATCGGCCGCTCCGTTACCGAATACGCCGACACTTTTGGGTTTACCAAGGGGTAGAACATTATTTGTGTTTTTCAGGAGGACGGTGCCAGCAGCGGCCACCTTCCTCACAATATCAGCGTGATTAGCGCGGACGTCCCGAGCAGGCGGTGGATTGTTCGGGTCCATTCCAGCTCCAGTAAGGTAAATATCTGGATAGTTGTACGTCCTGGCGAAGACGAAACCAGTCGATGGGTCGATCGACGGAAAGTCTTCATCCTGGTTCAGGTAGAAATAGGGGGTGAGAACTCGGCGGGCCATGTCGTTCACCTTCTCCTCGGTCAAAGTGCCATTCAACACGGCCGCCGTCAGGTTACCGCCGAAGTAGGACGGCGTGGGGAAGATAGCGGTCACCGCACTGTTCATGGCTCCTGGCATGGTCATGTCGAGACCGGCCGCGGCGGATGCTATGCCGGAGTGGGTTGCAAACCAGTCGGACACAACGTACCCCTGAAAGCCCAACTCGTCCTTCAAAAGGCCGTTGAGGATCTTGGAATTCTCGCAGACATATGTCTGGTTGACCCTGTTGTAGCTGCACATGACGGAGGCGACGCCGGCACGAACTGCGTCAGCAAAGGGCCAGAGGTAGAGCTCATGCATTGTGCGATCGTCAATGTTGGACGACAGCGCCGCGACCTCGAGCCCGTCCTCGGTAAAGGTGTTGGAGCGTTGCGTCTCTTGTTCGTTGCCGATAAAGTGCTTCGCGCTAGTTTGGACGCCCATCTCCTGAATGCCTCGGATGGAAAAGTCCATGGCGACACCCGTGAGAAATGGGTCAACAGAGAAGCTCTCCCAGTTGCGCCCTCCCAGGGGGTGACGCCCGAGGGCGCCAGACGCGGGCCTTTAGACACGAACACACACGTCAGTATCTACCTAAGTATGGCACATGCTGGCGGTTGAAGACTGCACTAACCCCAAGTGTACCTGTGCTCCTTTGCCACGAAACTCTGCGCCGAGGGCCTTGCCGCGCTGATAGATCAGATCTCGGTCCCATGTCGCCGCCGCCGTCAGGCCTGCGGGGAACACGGTTGCCAGGTCGGCGATTCTGACTGAATCGGTCTCTATTAGCGCTACATCGTGAGTTTTCCCGCCGATCTTTTCGTACCTGACACGGGTCCATCCGCCAAACAGTACCCAGAGAAGTCAATCTCCTCGATTGGGCTGATGTTGCCGTTGCAGGACAAACCCATGGTGGCACCAGTGGTCAAGGCAACCTTTTGTGTCAGGTTCAACTTGGCGACTGCATCGGTCGCTTTCTGGAAAGCAGCCTCCCAGCCTGTTCCGATGCTCTCGGCTGCGAGCTCTGTCAGCATTGCGGAAAGTAGAGAAGCTTCTGGTGGCACACGTACGGGCTGGGTATGTCGGCACGGTTTCGAAATGGCCGCCATCCGTGAGGGCCGTGGCAACACCGATGCCTCCGAGGACGGCGAGCTTTCTGGTGACGTTAACCATCTTGCCGCGGCAAATATTGCTGGGATGGTCTGCTGCAGCCCTTGATGTTTGTAGAGAGTGGCAGAGTTGACGAAACGCTGAAGAATGATCTGGGAGTGAGCTCTACTTGTAGCCGACTGGGGCCACTACTTAGGAGTATTCATCTTGAGCTCTTTCATGAGGCCCATCTTGATGACGTACTTCAAGGCTTACTAGTATGCGTCTTCTATGGCCCCGAACGCCTTGCCGGACACCGCGTGAGCTTAGATTTAGTTGATGGATCTCGGAGATGACGAGGCTGACGTAGAGCGGCCGCCTTCGCAAGATTGACCGGAAGGCTAGCGATGATGAAGAACTTGTCTATCGTATGGACGACCGTGTTCGGCCCTTCTTTTCGTGGGGAAAATCCGGGGTTCACGGCTCAATACCTTGTCCTTTCCATTGATAAGTGGAACGGGCTCGCGCCCTAGGTGACAGTATTGGTCACTCCTGATGGATGGCATAGCCCAGAAACGAGGTCATCCGAGGAGAAGGGTCCCCGTGAGGCCCCGCCCCTTTTACTACTGCATAGACAAGCGACCAACGGGCCGAAACCAGGATGGGACATGAGTCGGAATATGGAGATCGAGAGGTATCAATTCCAAAGGCTACGCCAATGGTGTGGGCTAGAAGCACACATGCCCGTCAGGGAAGACGTTTATTAGGAGCCGATGTGTAAGGCCGGTCGCTCACGTTTACGAAGGCCAACCCTGTACGAGAGCTCGTTTATCGTATCCAGCATTCATTATGATCACCGGCATCGACTTCTTCCATTGTATAAATCTCCAAATGAACAAATGGCAAATTGATTTCCCCATGGCATGTCAGGGCCGCCCATCTTTCGCCTCTCACTTCCACTTCTTGACTTTCCCAGCACCAGGCTCTTGGGATAACAGAAGTAGCCTGGAAGAAGTCTCGAGTGTTGACCTTAGCTGACTGTACGTTTCGTCTCCCCCGATGCTAATAGCTATCCTTACTTATGCGACCCGGTCTTTTGGTCAGGTACGCAGAATGAATTTCGGGACCAAGAAGTGCCATACGGTATGCGAGAAGCTGGAATACATCAAGAAAAGCTCTATCAAGGGTATCAGAGGCTTCCAAGTATGTGCTTTACAGTGATGTTGTGTAAAGGTAAGTGGGGATAGCTCGCTCTGACGCTCGTTTAGGAGCACCGACATCCGTCACTCATCCGTCGTATTTCGTATTTATTAACGAAAGCGCTCAGAACTGCCGAGGTTCCACTTTCGACGTCCCAGAAGTCCTTTGCTAGCTGAAGGTGTGGAGAATCGCTGGAGGTTCATCTCTGATCAAGACTGCATTGACGATGCGTCCGCAGCAATGCGTCCATACAAGAGTTTTCGCCCGCCATCAGAGGGCTCACCATATAGCCTAGCCACCAGGGGTCAGCCCTTCCACCTGCGACAAGCCTCTCATCAGATCCGGTGCCTGTGCGAAGAAGGAATTCATCCGCAGAGCCACAGGCCCGATGAGCAGCATTGCTGCCGGGCCTGCCAAGCTCTCCAGCCGCGACAGTGACCCATGGAAGCTGTCAATGAGACTATACGCCGCCCTGACGTCTTCCTTGTCAGCTGCCAGAAGAAAGAGGTAGATGAGAAAGTTGCCGCAGAGGATGAGCTGCGAGCGGGCGTGGCGACCCCAGAACCCGTTCAAGTCCTGTAGGTTGATGCGTGCCATGTACGCTGGAAAGCCTGCGAACTCGCCCAGAGCTACGGGAAACCATTTCCGCAGGTTGGACGCGGGTTCTGACCTTGACGCCCTCGTGGCCGGTGCCATGAGGCCACGAAAGATGAGGGCTTGCGTGGCGTAGTCGCCGAGGTGGAGCGCCGCGTTGTGGCATGCCAGGTCTGACGGGTGCGTGGGAATGAGCAGGCATCGAGGCAGCATGTCCTGCCAGTGCGACAAGTCGGCCTTCATGTCTATTAATGTTCGCCGTGGACTCATGAAGCTCTCGTCCGTGGTCGTATTCCGAGGAACTTGGAAACTTATACCGAGAGCCTCGCGCAGAATCTGTGCTAGTTTGACATGTTCCAGAAAACGCACAGCCGTGAATCGCTGCTTGCTACTACTGGCCGTATCAGCAAATTGCTGGAGGTCGGCAGGAACATCCTCGTCAAATGACATGTCCTCAATTGTTAGTTGCGATGTGCTGTACGAGCCTGGATAGATGTGCGGTGGGTTGCCGTGACCCAGAGACGACCACACGTCGGCGGCAAAAGTTGCCCACCACATTTTCTTTCTGAGCTTCTTCTCCCATGCCGGGATATTCCACATCTCAGCATCCTGATGAAGCCCAATCATCTGCGCGCAGGCCACAGTCTCGGCCGTTTTGGTCCACGTTCGAGGGTGCTCCACGCTGTCGACGTCGCAGGGCTTCAGGTGCAGCAGCAGCAGGCTCGCCTGCAGCTTGTCGAGGTTGGGAGAGTCTAGCTCTCTCTGCAGCGACGTCAAGGCGATGTCGGCGACTGCGTGCTGCTCGAAGGGACACGGCCCTGCCAAAGAAGGCTCCTGGTCCCAAAAGACGCATGCCAAGGCGTAGATCGCGCCACGAAGAGAAGCGGACATCTGCCGCCTGTTCTCGGCGTACCGCCTCAGAAACCGACCCTTGGAGACGACTGGTAGGACTGGATGCACGTGCTTGAAGTACGCCCGAATGAGGCCGTCGCTATGCGGTGCGACAAGCTCCTCAATGGCGTCGGAGCACTCCTCCTTGACCTTATCGTCGTGGGGGAAGAACTCGTTGACGACGAGATAAAAGTGCACCGGAGGCTTGCCCGTCTCTTGCGAACCAGGACACACCTGGACGAACTCGGCGTCGATCTCGAGGCCGTTCATGATGACGGAGCGGAACGAACTGAGGAGGTTCGCGTCCTGCTCGGCAGCCAGACCCATACTGTGGGACGTCTGGCCGGGATTGTCTTCCAATGTTCGGATAAGCGGAGGAACGCCGATGGACGGCACGGAGGAGGGGGTGGAGAAGATCGGTAATCCGCCGGGCGAGGATGCCGACGCATCGAGTCGGACGGCCCCGGCTGACGCGTCGACCGAAGGACTTGCGTGAGTGTGAGCCGGTAGCTGGGGGTTATGAGACACGACAACCTCGGGAGACAGGGTTGGGACGCGTTCAGGCAGCTCGGAGGTGGCCCCAGGCGAGACTGGTGTTGGTGTATTGGTCCTCGCAGCGGCGCCGGAAGACTGGCAATCCAGACCCCTCGTCTTGCAGAAAACACCTGAGCGGTTGCATTAGCAAGGATGACTTGGCATCGGAATCTATCCGACGCTCACATGGTGGCGCCGACCTGATGACGCAGGCCGTCTTGCGCTTCCGGCACGCATCGCATGGCCGACTCTTTCGGCTCCTCGATTGTCTGGCACTACCGAAGTCGCTCTGAATGGTGAACCGGCGACGCTGGCCTGCTTGAGCAGACACTGTCTGTCCGGGTATCATTTCGAAGAGATCGGCCAAGTGATACGAGTGTCGTGGGTCGTCGGAGCCGGGTGCTTGTCAGGCTAGATGGAGGTTGTTGAATCGTGGTTGTTCGCCGATGGGTTTCTTTGCCGATCGGGAGTTTGCCGAAGGGTTCCACCCATCCCAGCCAGCGCTTGCCCTTGTCAGGCTTAGGTGACCCTTTCGTCGGCCAATTTGGCAAGGCGAGCTGGCCGTGTTTGGCCATCAGTTGTGCGACTCGCTGGCATGGAAGGGAAGTGGACGAGCATGGGAAGTTAGGGCGCCGTATTCTGTGGCATACGACGCCGCATTGGTTTCTTTGTTTCCTAGAGGATTGCTGTCATCTCAGCGGCAGTGCCTCACCTCGGCCGGCCTGTGTACAGGTGATCTCTATTCCCGTCCCATGCCAGACCCAGAACATGTGGGAACCTGGGCCAGATTCAAGTCAGCAGAGGCCCGACGCTCTGGGACGGGTCCATTCCACACGAGACTCGGCAAACCCGTCTCTGGGGTAATGCATTTCCCCAGACTTGATCCCCGTTCATCCCTATCTAACGAAGAACCCTCGTGGGGTCGAATCGAGGCCAAGGCTGCAGGCGACCAAGTTCATCCAAGCGATGTCTATTGCTATTATCAACCGGACGACTGCTTAGTCTTCCTATCATGTCACTGTACAGTTCAGAAAGAGGTCATTGTCAAGCATCATACGTGATAATTGTAATATGTTGGCAATACTAGAACAATATTAGACGAAAAGAATGTGCACAGTCCGGGATGTAATGTCTTGAAACCGAGAGAAGATTCTCCTTCAGACCTTTGTTACCGGGGTCGCTGAAATCTTCTTGGCAGGTTTCTCGCCTCCCAGTCTCGTCGCCTCCAGATGATCGTATGTTTCCGCCAAAGTAACATCCCAATGCCCATATGTCGCTTCCCGCAGTTCCTTGGGCGAGGGACTCTCGAGGACAAAGGCATCAACAGCCTTCGCAGGGAAGAAGCGGTGCAGCAAAATGTACACGGTGCCAGCGGACAAGAAGCCGTAGATATACGACATGTAGTAGAGCTCCGTCGCGCCATCTGTGACTGTTACATTGGGCGTGACGGCGGCAATGAAGCCCGGCATGCAGGGGATGACACCGATGAGCCACTGATGATATATCGTCAGCAACGCGTTTCATGACGCCGGTGTTGCGTGACGTGGGACACGGATGCGCGGGGAGAGAGGGTATGATACTTACCGCGACGGGGGCCCTCCAGTTCAGACCGGCGGTGTACCAGTAAATGCTCCCCTTGCCACCACTGTACATGTCGTCGATGTTCAACTTCCTCTTATTCACAACCATGTAGCTCGCGACCATAAGACCCGTCATCGGTGCGAGGAAGACGCTGTAACTCGAAAGCACGACGAGGAAAATGGTCGCCGTGTTGACGAGACGCCAGGGGTTGACGACGCTGCTGAGCAGTGCGGTAATGTAAGCACCACGGCGGATGTTGATGTACTTGGGGAAGATGGCGGCGAGGTCGAACCCGCCGGCGATGCCGTTGCCGCAGACGTTGACACCTAGTTGTGCGACGACGAGACTGAGTCCGGCGAAGAAGGCGGCGGCGCGGGTGCCTGCGTGATCGGGGTTGTCTTGAATGAGGCGAGCGAACAGGGTCGGGGGACTCCAAATGGCCTCGCCACCGAAGCGATCCTGCGTCGCCGCCGTGACTAGGATACCGATGAGAGAACCGAAGATACCATAAAGCGGGAAAGATACGGCCTGACCCCAGAACGCATGGCGGGGCTGTTTGGAGAAGCGAGAGTAGTCACTCTGGTTGAGAATGCCAGCGGCGATGGAGCCGACTGTCGACACGATGCCATAGATCATGAGCCATGCGACGCTCATCGGGCCACCTGTGGCGGGGAGGGTGCTGTCGTTCGAGAGGGTATCGCCAAACCCAGAAGGTCCCATGGTCGCTAGGGACCAGATGAGGATGACGATGAAGAAGACTAGGGTGACGGTACACGCGACGTAAAAGAACTTCTGCAGCTTATGAGGGCGGATATAGAGCAACGGCAGACTGATGACGGAGAAGATAATGTACGATACGAACTGGGCAGTTGTCATGCCGGTGCCGTCGGGGATCGTGTTGGGAATATGCTCCTCCAGCTTGGGGTCCCAAGAAAGCAACATGACGTAGAGGCACTGGCCGCCCACCCACGCCGTGAATCCGTACCTAGGGTATGTCAGTATTCAGTGTTATTCTCGACATGTTGAGAATTTCTGACCAGACTGCGCGATGCCTTGTTAGCCTTCATCCATAACCACCATCGTTTTGATGTGTCAAAGGGGGGGCCTACCAAGAGAGAGAAAGATGCGGTTCCAGATGGTGAATTGAGACCCCCACATGCCCCAGACAACTCGACTGAAGACAGGGAAACCGACTGTGCGAGAGTCGTGTCAGTCCGCAATCTTTATCAAGGGGAATGTGCAGGACAATGGGGACTGACCATGGTAATAGCTGCCTGGCAAAGAGTTGAGTATGACAGCTACAGTGGCAATGACGTTGCCGATGATGATGGCGATGAAAGCCTGATACCAGTTCAGGCCGAAAGGAATGAGGGCGCTACCGGTCATGTATGTCGCGATGTTGCAGTTGATGAGGAGCCCTGGACACGAATCGTCGTTTAGTACTCATACCGTACAGGTATCGTAGGGAGCCCGACTTACAAAAGTTGTGATACTCGAGGTAGCCCCATGTCCGTCGCTCTGTTTCGATCGGCCGAATGTCATCGTTCTTAGAGCGTCAGCAGGGTCCGAGACAGAGTCAATCGAAGCTACATCTCCGCCGGAGAACACCATGAATCGTGACAGGCAGCACATCGAGTTCTGGGGTGGCTCACAATCCACCGATTGACGTGAGGAAGCTGTGCACGCTTGATCAAGTCTTTGAAGCCCATCTTGTCTTGTAGGCCAACGTTGAGCGCTTGGGTAAGATGAAAGCCAAGTTAGTGGAAGTTGGTCGTGGTCGGCTCGGCGCAACGACGTGCGACCTTGTGTCAATCGAGCACAATCTTCATGACGCAGGGAGGATTGCTGCAGGTGGTGGAGGTTCGATTCATATAACCATCCTGGGACGTTCCATTGTCGACCCCAAATGCTTATCGAACTGTCTGGTCACCCAGATGCCGAGTCTGGGAGGCAAGGTGGGGAGAGCGTCTTCAGCATACGCCAATCGCTAGGGGAGTCATATGATCGGCCAACTTGTTTCGTCCAGAACGTCGCCGATAGTTGGCCGATAACTTCGGTTCGCCGACGCGGGAGATGGTCCAAGTATCGAATAGGGCACATCGGGGAACTTAGCACCTCCTTGCGGGGAACGTGCAAATAGGAGGAGTAGAACCTCACTTGGACCATCAACTACCAATATTAAAGCCATCAGGGGCTTCAATATCAAACAATGTTCAAAAACTCAAGTTGAACAATCATTAACAGCTATCGTCATGCTGGTCAGACATCACACCGCGCCCCTCTATCGTGTCGGCGTCGACGTCGGCGGCACAAACACGGATGCCGCCATTCTCGACATTACTTCAGTTGACACGCCGGACCGCGGTGTCCTGGCATCTCACAAAGCATCAACCACACCCGACATTTCGAGCGGCATCGAGGCCGCCATCCGTGCTGTTCTGCAAAATTCGGCTGTCGATCAGACCCGCGTGCTGAGCGTCACCATTGGCACAACCCACTTCATCAATGCCTTGGTTGAGGCTGATGCACGAAGACTGAGCCGCGTCGCCGTCGTGCGTCTCTGTGGCGCGTTTACAAGACAGATCCCACCATTTTCTGACTTCCCCGCTGGTCTGAGGCGCGTGCTCGATGGAGATGCCTATTATCTCGATGGCGGTCTCGAAATTGACGGCCGTGAGATTGCGCCGCTCGACCATGACCAGATCAGGCAAGTCGCGAGAGACATCCTCGCCAGCGGCGTCAGGTCGGTGGCTCTCGTCGGCGTCTTTGCACCGCTTGACCACGCCGGCGTCCACGAGGAGATGTGCAAGAGGATCCTGCTCGAAACGGCCCCCGAGCTCGATGTTGTCTGCTCTCACGATATCGGCCCTCCTGGATTCCTCGAACGAGAAAACGCCACGGTTCTGAACGCCGCCATTCTGCGCACTGCGAGAAAAGTCACCTCTGGCTTCAAGGCCGCCATGTCGCGGCTCAATCTGGCGTGCCCCCTCTACCTGTCGCAGAACGACGGCACCTTGATCGATGCCGACGCCGCAGCTGAGTACCCCATCAAGACCTTTGCCAGCGGTCCCACGAATAGCATGACGGGCGCCGCCTTCCTGGCTGGTCTGGATCAGACGCGAACATTGGACTCGGCCTCCAGTGGCGAGACTCCGGAAGACGACGTGGAGCCGCAGGTCCTGGTGGTCGATATCGGCGGCACGACAACGGACGTTTGCGCGCTTCTGCCCTCGGGCTTCCCCCGCCAGGCCCCCGGCTTTGTGGAAGTCGGTGGTGTGCGGACGGCTTTTTCCATGCCCGAGGTTGTCTCCGTCGGGCTCGGCGGTGGCAGCAAAGTGCACGTCGGCTCTGATCCGGCGACGGTGACGGTCGGCCCTGGCTCCGTGGGGCACTTGTTGAAGCAGCAGGCTCTCGCTTTTGGTGGCACGACGTTGACGACGACGGATATTGTGGTCGCAACGGGCAAGGCCAAACTTGGAGACCGCAGGCTCATTGAGAATGTGCCGATATCCACCATTGATGCAGCACGGCGAAAGATCAAGAAGATGATTGAGGGTGTCGTCGAGCAGATGAAGGTATCCGCGGCCCCGGTACACATTCTCCTGGTCGGCGGTGGTGCACTGCTAGTGACGGAGGATCTAGACGGCGTGGCCAAGTGCATTCAGCCTGTCCACCAAGGTGCGGCCAACGCTGTTGGTGCCGCCATTGGCAAGATTTCTGGCGAGGTCGACGTCATTGAGATCCTCCAAGACCGAGATGAGAAGGAGGTCGTCGCCGCGGCGTGCCAGAAGGCCATCGACCAAGCCATCAGCAAAGGTGCTGCGGCTGACGACGTCAGCGTCGTCGAGATCAACAAGATTCCCCTGCAGTACGTAGATAACGGCGCCATGAGGATCCAGATTCGGGCTGTCGGCAAGCTTGCAGTCCCGAAGGATGGAACGCTAGCCAACAGCGTCGCATACGCTGCGTCAGATGAAGAGGAAGAGCAAGAGGAGCAGACGGCCAAGACGAACATCTCCGATGCCCTTGAGTCAACTTTCCGGCCATCCATCAAGGTTGACTTGGAGACCTACCGGCCTGAAGTCCGTAATGACGCTTGGTACGTCTCGGAAGTCGACCTCGAACTGATTGCGACGGGCTGCGGCGTTCTTGGCACTGGTGGCGGTGGCCCTACTCACCACGAGTTCTTGAAGAGTCTCGATACATTACGCAAGAGCGAACCTGGAAGGCTCCGGATCATCTCGCCCAAATCCGTAAAAGATGACGATCTCATCTGTTTCGGCTCGTGGTATGGAAGCCCAAGCGTCATCAACGAGAGGATTGCATCAGGGGGCGAGATTCCGGCTGGAATTGATGCCCTCATGAAGATCTTGGGCAAGGATAAGCCCGACGGCATCTTCACCGACGAGATGTAAGCTAAGCACGCCTGACCCAATCTGCTGCTTTATTGAGCACTGACTTCTGAACAGCGGGGGCGGCAACGGTATGAGCACATTTCCCACTGCTGCTCACTATGACATTCCTGTTATTGACGGGGATGCCATGGGCCGGGCCTATCCTACTATGTACCAAGGTGTGCCATGTTCTTTCTCTTGGCAGCTCTGAACGTTCTAACGAGGAAGTTAGCCACGTTGAGCGTTTACGGGCACCCGCTGACCCCATGCGCCCTCTCCGACGCTCGCGGCAACGTCAACATTGTCATGGTAAGCCCCCGTAGGTCGCATCGTCCTGATCCATGTTAACAAAGACAGAACACTGATACCCCTTTCCGCCTTGAAAAACTGCTCCGCACCGCCGCCATCGAACTAGGTCTCGGCTGTGCCGTCGCCGCCCGCCCCCTCCCCGGATCCGCAATTAAGGCTCATGGCGTCCCAAACACGCTCTCACAAGCCTGGTACCTCGGCCGTGCTGTTCATCTCGCTCGCAGGAACAAAACGTCCTTCATCGATGCCATCTTTTCCCAGTGTGCTGGCAAGCTCCTCTTCACTGGCAAAATAATTGACGTGCGGCGTTTTGTGGGCGATGGCTACACCATGGGCAGCGTACTCATTGCTCCGCTGACCGATGGAGAGCTGGACTCCTCTAAAGCATCGTCGCTCGCCGCACTGCAGGCCACCTCTGCTGCTCGAGATAGACATATGCTCATCCCCTTCCAGAATGAGTACCTCTATGCTGCCCTGACCGATAGTGCCGGCTCCGAAGATGGGCGCGAGGTCATCTGCACAGTGCCGGATTTGATATCAATTCTTGGTCAAGACGGTGAAGCTATCGGCTCTCAGGATTTGCGATACGGTTTGCGTGTTTCGGTCATCGGACTACCTGCTCACCCGCTGTGGAAGACGGAGAAGGCCATGCCCATTGGTGGTCCTGCAGCTTTCGGCCTAAATATGCCGTTTGTTGGGGCAGGAGAGTATGGGAGTGCGAAGAGCGTATTGGAAGAGTTTGAGATTGTATAGGTAATCAGTAGCGGAGGGTTCAAGATATGAAGGGTTTGACCTCGAAATGAACCAGTTGTTATTCTATGAGCCTCTCGAAAATCATAAACACTTGCACGTAACGAAGGGGCATGCTCGCAAGGGGTAGCATTTACACAAATTTCATTTTTATTGTGAGGTCAAGTTACTTGCAATCATCATCCGCTTTTGAAAATCATTCTGCGTCGCGCAGAGGCCTCATTTATGTGGAATTGTTCCAAGGCGAAAGCATCGCATTCTTACTGCCGACGACAACCCGTGCTTGGAAGCAGCGACAAATTAAAATAGACTCATAAAGAAACAATGAGAAAAAATTAAAACAGAAATACTCATCCTACTGCGTGGACATTGGAGACAAATAGGGCTGATAACACGTCCGACTTAAGACTCATGCCCTACCCAAAGAGTACGGGAACTTGTGTGTGTGCATGTGCTTGGCCATTCCATTTCGCTTGACCAGTTTTGCGCAACCAGGAAACCGACACTGGACTCTCACGGTATTTGTCTGAGACTGTGGCACGTGAGGCTCGAGTTCGGAATGCTTCTTCTTATGGTGATCGCCAAGAGCCTTTTGTCGAAGGTAGCCCTTGGCGCCGACCCTATCACATCCTGAGATGGAACAGGGGAAAGGAGTCTCGTCGTGGATCTTCTTCATGTGTTCATTGAAGTCCTTCTGATCGTTGAAAGGTCGATCTTTGTCCTGTTCTGCAGCCTCAAGAGCGTCAAAAGATTCGTCGCGATATCCAAAACACCCTGAGTGTGGGCATGTCTTGGGAGTGTCATAGATTCCCCTTCTGGACTGGCGCGATTCGGACAGTTCCTCGGCATTGAACTTGTGGAAAGCTCGCATATGCTGACGCAAGTGATCCTTTCGCTTGAAGCCATTTCTGCCGCGATGGCGCTTGCAGTATCGGCAAGGATGCTTCGGCATGTCTAGCGAGTAGATGTCTTTGTGACGACAGAGGACATCGAGACGAGAGAATGATTGGCCACAGATACACTGAAACGGCTGATGTTGTACCGCCAAGGCGTGATCCCGAAGACCGGTATCATTCTCAAACTTGGACCGACATTGGGCACAGGAAAAGGGGCGAACCCCGGTGACTCTTCCATGGCCTTCAGTATGCGAACGGCGTTCGTGAGCTTCATACTGCAGATGTTTCGCAAACCTCTCATGACAACCTGGGAAGTTGCATTTGTATGGCATGTGTTCAGTCTTGTGGGCATGACGGGTGAGTTGATGATCATCAAGGAAATCCTCGCTACGCTCTGCGCATCGAAATCCTGCAACGGGCGGTGCGTTCACAGGACCCTCGTTGTCAACCGACGACATGATTGAGGAGGAAGCGGAGGACTGTGTGGTTTGAGCAGTGATGTCTTCTATGTTGTGTAACTCTGGATTGGACGCTCCTATCGGGCGTGGCCCACTCGGCACGCTGACACCCTTTTTGTTAGCATCTACTAAAAAAAAAAAGCCTACCCATCTGCATGGCGTTCTGTGCCCATGCCGATCATGTCAGCCGAGAAAGAGGGCTGTCCAGTCAAGACCAAGTTGGTTGGGTGACCGAATCCGATGTAGCTGTGATCGAGGAAGGCGGGATAGACGTGGCTGCCATTGTTTGGATCCAAGAGGACAGTGCCCTGCGTGAAGGTGTGTTGCACCGGAGGACCAGTTCCGTAGAAGTGATCCCCCGGGATGTCTGGGATGTATGGCATCTCTGCCATGTCGACCCCGGCGAGGGAATTTCCCGTGTCATAGACGGGGTTGTAGCCATTGGCGCCCAAAGCCCAATCGGTCTGGGGCAAGTAGCTCGGCTCGGAGGGCAGGGCGAAGCTGGCGGTAGCCCCGTGGTCGAAGCTCTTCATAGGATCGAAGTAGGCTTGGGCGTAGTAAGGGAGGAGGCTCTCCTTGGCGTTGATAAAGGCCTCTAATTCGTCGAAGTTGGGAAAGTAGTCAGACATGATGAACGGGTTGTAAAGCGGCGTGAAGCAGAAAAATGTGAAGGCGAGATTCTGATGTGCGATCGTGTTGAACGAAAGGGAGAGAAACGGGCCTCCGGCTTCGTGGACACCACCTACCGATATATTGCGGATAGTCAGAGCATCAACACCTCACTTGGCAGTACTAAAGCAGCGACAGCTGCGGTGCAACCCCAGAAGGGTGAGAAACAAGTCTGCTTGTGTATGTCGTGGTGGCTGTCGAGTTTGGTGGTTGCTTAGTGGAGACTATCTGTCGCCCTGTTTGTGTGCGGTGGGCGATGCCACGGTCCTTGCGTTGCGCATGGCAAGGACCTGTCACCCTATTTGCGTCGTGTCAGTGCATGATTGCCGCCCTATTTGACTCGTAACGCCCCCTTTCGTCGTTTTTTTTTGGGGGGGGGGGGGGGGGGGGCATGCAGGAGTTGCCGCCCTGTTGAGTGGTGGACAGCATTTCAAAGTGAGGCTATTGCGAGGAAACGAAATGCGAATGACAGCTACGGAGGCAACGGGAGGAGGGGTGCTTGGGCATCCAACCGTTACGAGGAAGAGCCAAGGGGCACGCCGTCACTCAACAGGGACAACAAGGACGACAAGGCTTTGTCTTTTCCTTCTTTGCTCCTCTAGTCCAGCCCTCGCACTTTGCGGCTGAAGAGCTGCCTACATGTGGCAAGTTAACCCAGCACGCTCCCATGCAAACATGCACATGCGGAAAGGGGCGAGTTACAGGTCATTCCAGTCAAAACATTCATTGGCTCATGCTTCAAAAACAATCTACGCTACCGCATCTCACGCTCAAGCCAGCTTCTGGTGGATGGTCTGGATGTTACAGAACGACTTGAGACCGTTGATGCCGAGCTCGCTGCCGACGCCGCTGAGCTTGTGGCCGCCAAAGGCGGCGTCGGGCCGCAGCTCGAGGTGCGTGTTGATCCACACGGTGCCGGCCTGGAGCTGCCTCGACACGCGGTCCGCCTGCGCCTGGTCCCTCGTCCAGACGGACGCGCCGAGACCCATGTCCGTGTTGTTGGCGCGGCGGATGACGTCCTCCTCCTCGGTCCACTGCATCACGGGGAACACGGGGCCTGCATCCTGTTAGCTTGACCACTTTTTTCTTTCTTCTCTCATGACGACAACACCACGTGTCAAGGCAGCAAAACTCACCAAAAGGCTCCTCGACGACAATCTTGGCGTCGTCGGGCGGGTTGCTGACAATGACGGGGCTGATGAAGTAGCCCTTGTCCTGGGCGGCGGTGACCTTGACGTCGCCAAAGGCAACGTTGAGCTTCTCGGTCTCGATCGACGCGATCAGCGCCTTGACGCGCTCGTACTGCATGCTGTTCTGGACGGGGCCGAGCACCGTGTCGCTGGCCGAGCCGTCGCCGACAGTCATGGTCTTGGCAAAGGCGACCATGGCGTCGAGGAACTGCGGGTAGATGCTCGAGTGGACGTAGATGCGCTTGATGGCAATGCAGACCTGCGACTGTGTGAGACAGAAACTCGTGACCGCGTGCGGACGTGCAGCCGACTTACCTGACCAGAGTTGTAGAGGGCCAGCGTTGTGATCTAGGCGCGTCAGTGGGACGGTTCGTCATGGTTTTCTGTGGTGCACTCACCGCCGGCGCGACAGCCGCAATGTCAACGTCAGAGCAGATAATGGCCGCATCGTTGCCGCCCCTTTTCCGCCCCTGTTAGCAAGCTTTCTCAGTCTTCAGAAGCCGAATGAACTCACAGCTCCAGTGTGACGCGCTTCAGCGTCTTGGCGCAGCTCTGCATGACGCGGATACCAGTCGGCGTCGAGCCCGTGAAGCTGACCTTCTGGATACCGGGGTGCGCCGTCAGCCAGGGGCCGAGGTTGTCGTCGCCGCTCAGCGCCTGCACGACACCGGGCGGGAAGAACTCCTGGGCGATCTCGGCGAGCTTGAGGCCGCAGTAGGGTGTGAATGGGCTAAAGGCGCATTAGCGTGAAAGCTTGTGGACGGGCAATCTGACTACACACGAAGGCTTCAGGATGATGGCATTGCCTGTGACGAGGGCAGGGCCGAGCTTGAACGTCGCTGAGCAGGAGGTCAGTACACTCATCTCCGATACAGGACACTAGATGTACGGACCGAGAACGATGGGGACTGGACGCCAGGTCAGCAAACGAGCACACGACACTTGATCACGGACGACGACGCACAGTTCCAGGGGACAATGCCCACGGAGACACCAATGGGGACATATCTCGTCACGATGCGGTTCTTGTCGCTGTCCTCGACAATCTCGTCACCGAACGGCAGCTGAGCAACGCCCTTGAGCGTGCCAACGGCCTGCTGGACCTCAAACAGGGCCGCGGCGGTCTGGACACTCAGTCAGCAAAGGGACGGCAGTACTGTCAGAACTACTAGGACACCCACAGGCTTGCCCTGCTCCTTGGTGAGGAGGGCGGCAAAATCGTTTGCGAGCTCGGCCAGCTTGTCGGCATACTTGTTGACGGCCTCGCGGCGCTCCTCGAACGACGCCTTGGCCCACACAGCGGCACCCCGCGCGGCGGCTTCAACGGCGGCGTCAACGTCCGCGGGGCTGGAGACGGGAACGGGAGCGAGGGGCTCAAGAGTGGCGGGGTTGATGCCTGTGCGCGTCGCCTCCGTCGACTTGAGCTGGCCGTCAACGACGTTGGCAAAAGTCTCAAAATTCACCATGATGTCGGTAGTGTGCGTGTGTGGATAGGAAATGCTAGGAAGGGTAGAGTGCCTGTCTGCTGGAAGACGGTCAAAAGAAATGTTCGGATGATGGCGCAAAGGGGGTATCTTGAGTCTGGTCCCTCCAAGCAGGGTCTGGTGACCAGAGGACAGTTATCTCCTATGTACTCCTCGTGAGCATCGGACATAGCGCGCGCCCCTGAGCTCAGCATCATCGGAGATCTCTTTTGAGCCGTGGCAATATGCCCCGCACTCCATTCCCCCGCATTCATGACACGAGCTAGCATGGCAGCTTTGGCACCATCGTGAAGAATCAGGATACTAGTGCCGAGGTAGCGGGCCACGATTACTGAATCAGGATAGGGCGAGTCAGGGTTTTGGAGGGTGGCTCCCTGGAAGCAGATAATAAGGCATCACCTCTATGGATAGAGCTATGAAAGCCGCAGTCGATGAGACATTGGACTTGTGAAGCCGCGTTGCGACATCAACCTGACGGAACCCTATTTTTACTTTACCAGACTTCAGACTCTCCCCCCCCTCCCCCACCTCCAAAATGGGCGAGTGGCAGCAGCAGCGCAATCGTGCCGTCGTGTACCTGGAACCCGGCACCACCAAGACGGCAGTGGTCGAGCTTCCCATTGCGGAACCGGGTCCGGGTGAGGTGCTTGTCAAACTGTGAGACACACCGAAGCTCCTCCCTTCTGGGCTGTGACGGATGGAGCCCGTTCCACTTGTTTTGGGGCGGGGGCCATATTGACTCTTTGTAGGCACTACTCCGGCGTCTGCCACACGGATGCCGCCTTTTGCTTGAACTCTTTCAGCACGGTGCCACCAACTGCCCAAGGTGTGTCAGGCCATTGATCCATTTCGCAACGTTCGAGGTCTCTCTTATTTTTTCATTTTCCCCCTTTTGGATTGCTGACCCCGTCTTGGTTGCAGGGCAGATTGGCGGACATGAAGGTGCAGGCGAGGTGGTAGCACTTGGCCCAGGCGTCACGGCACCGGCTGTCGGCTCCTTCGTGGGCATCAAATTCGCCGCCGATGCGTGCCTGACATGTGGTACGGCCCCCCCCTTTTCCTCCCCTCGGGTGTTCTTGTGCTCCCTGCGCTGCACTGCGCCCTGCACTGCATTGCACTGCTGCAAGCCTAGCGATGGCGAGAATAGTGGCGACGTAACGCTGACCCACAAAGACAACTGCATCGAGGGCGGCGATTCGACGTGCCAGCAGACGCAAATCTCGGGCTATACGGTGCCCGGGACGTTTCAGCGATTCTGCACGACCCCTGCACGCTACGCGACGCCGATCCCGAGCGGACTGGACCTCGCGTCCGCCGCCCCGCTCATGTGCGGCGGCATCAGCGTCTACACCGCGCTCAGGACGGCGGGGCTTCGAGTGGGCGACTGGGTCGTCATCTCGGGCGCTGGCGGCGGACTGGGCCACCTGGGCGTGCAGTACGCCAAGGCGCTGGGGGCGCGCGTCGTGGCCGTGGACGCCGGCGTCAAGGAGGCGCTCTGTCGCGAGCTCGGCGCCGACGACTTTGTCGACTTCACGGCGTTTGCGTCGGACGCCGACTTGGCGGCGCGCATCAAGGAGGCCACGGGCGGCGGCGCGCGCATCGCGCTCATGTGCTCGGCGAGCTCCAAGTCGTACGGGCAGTGCATGTCCTGGCTCGGGTTCAGGGGCACGGTCGCCTGCCTGGGGATCCCGGACAAGGAGGGCGCTTTGCTGCCCAGCATCGGCGACATGGTGACATTCGAGCATCGCATCATCGGTAGGTCGTCGGGCATTTCTGAGAAAGGACGGATGGATGGGCTGACTGTGACATAGCGACCAAGACGGGCAACCGACTCGAGGCGAAGCAGTGTCTCGAGCTGGCAGCGCAGGGTCGTGTGAAGACGCGGTACACACTGCGCCGCATGGAGAGTCTGACGAACGTGAGTCTGGGCGATCGATGATCTGGGTGATCGATGATCGGTATGAAAGCGAATCTGTGTCAGCTGACCACTACGCGACAGATCTTTGAGGAACTCGAGAGTGGCAAGATTCAGGGTCGTGTCGTGCTCGACCTTCGGGGCGATTAATGCTGTCGTCCCGGTCGATCAGCGGGTTTGGGGTGTTGGAGTATGGCGGATCCATCAGCACGGGTGCTGGATTGCATTGTATTTGCGAGTTTGAATGCACCATGAATGAATTGACGGTCCTTGCGAAACGCGTTGGTGATGTCTTGGAAAGGCGTCAGCAAGGGAGAATGCCTTCAGTGTCAAGCACTGGACTCTGTAAGCCTCCGTAGCTGGGTAGCGAGCTGGTGAGGGAGGAGCTCCCAAGCTACCCCGCATCAGCCACTTGCCCCCAACGAGCTGCCAGCCTTATTCGGTCCATGATGCCGAGGTCCAAGGCAGGCGTCGCCCTCTGCTGTGAACTGGAAGTGATATCAGCACAGCGACTTGCCGTTGAAGAAAACCATGACAATTCGATAATCCATCTCCGGTCGGATCACACAAGACATTCATCGACGCAGCTTCCTCGAACGCAACAACCATGGCCGCAGACTCAACATCCATCCCTGCGCCCCTCGCTGAGCCCTCGTGGCTCCGTGGCCTGCCCTCTCCCTACTTCAAAGACACGCATCGCAAATTCCAGGTCGCCTGTCGCAAGTTCATCCAGGAGCACCTCCATCGCCACGCTCTGGAATGGGAAACCGCCGAGGATGTTCCCCCTCACGTCTTTGACCAGTTCGCCGCCGCCAAGTTCCTCCTCCCCGCCCTGCCTGCTCCCTTGCCTGCGCAGTGGCTGAAGAAGCTGGGTATCACCCATTTGCCCGGAGATGTCCCTGTGGAGGAGTTCGACGCCCTTCACGGCTATGTCTATGCGGATGAGGTGAGTTGTCCTGAAGAGGTCCAATCAGTCGATATGGCGTCGGATGCCCTGACAGTGTGCCCACCCAGATGAGCCGCGCCGGTCTAGCTGGTCCAGCCGGCGCCCTCACCACCGGCATCGCGTTCGGCGTGCCTCCCTTGCTGCACTACGCCGATCCACAGCTCCAAGAGCGGTTCCTGCCCGATCTGCTCCTGGGCCGCAAGCGATCGTGTATTGCTATTACTGAGCCCGAGTGAGCGCGCCTGTTTGGCCCCCCTTGAGAGCGAGTCAGTGGACCCTAACACCGCCTCCAGAGCTGGCTCTGATGTCGCCAACATCACCACCACTGCCGAGCTCACCCCTGACGGCAAGCACTATGTCATTAACGGCTCCAAGAAGTGGATCACAAACGCGTTCTGGGCTGACGTTGCCACCATGGCTGTCCGCACAGGCGGTGAGGGGTCCGGCCCCGCCGGCATCTCCCTCCTCGTCGTGCCCCTCAAGGATCAGCCCGGCGTCAGCCGCCGCCGTCTCAAGGTCGCCGGCCAGGTTTCGGCCGGCACGACCTACATCGAGCTCGACGACGTCAAGGTACCACGCGAGAACCTCATCGGCGTCGAGGGTCACGGCATGAAATACATCATGAACAACTTCAACCACGAGCGCCTGTTCATCTCCGTCGGCGTGACAAGGCAGTCCCGCGTGGCCCTCGCCTCGGCTTTTGCCTACTGCATGAAACGCGAGGCGTTCGGCAAGACGCTGATCGAGCAGCCCGTGGTGAGGCACCGACTCGCCAAGTGCGCCGCCCTGCTCGAGGCGCAACAGGCCTGGGTCGAGAGCTTTGTTTACCAGCTCGCTCACCTGACCAAGACGGAAGCGGACGCTCAGCTCGGCGGTCTGACGGCCCTATGCAAGGCAAATGCTGGCATTGTGTTTGATGAATGTGCTCGATGTGCTGTGCTCCTCTTTGGCGGCAACGGCTATACACGATCGGGACAGGGCGAGCTTGTAGAGAGTAAGACTGTCCCCTCCCCTCTCTGTGTCTTATGCTGGTCAACATTTACTAACCATCGCCGCAGAGATCTATCGCGATGTTCCTGGAGCCAGAATCCCCGGAGGCAGTGAGGATGTCATGTTTGACTTGGCAGTCAGGCAATTGGTCAAGACGTTCAGGGCTGGGAAGGTATCACCGCCCAAGTTGTAATCATACTGTTTGGGACAAATGACGTACGTAGCATGGGATCACGAGTTAGCCTTACATCCATGTTGTATATTGTGCCATGTAACGCGAGATAGACTCCCCAAACTCCTGCAAGGATGAACCACTCCGGACCGTTGCATGTCACGCCACGTGCGGCTCCTCAGCTCCTCTTGCATGGCTGACTCGTCGCCTCCCCCGCGTCTCCATAATCTTCTTCATCGTGGACCCCTCGTCTCGGCAAAACAAAACAGCACCATTAATAAACCCGCGGCTATAGCACGACACTGGGGTCCAAGATGCGGGGAACGTGGGGTAGTTAAAGCCGGGGTAGTTTGAGGCTGTATCTGGCGTTGCATCGAACCCTTGGACCGCCCGTTGCCCGCGTGGACGGCGACGTCAGAAAATCTGACTCGTCCATTCTTGTTCCAACGACAGTACAACCAGCAGCTACGCAAACATCCGAGTCAGAAAACACACGCAGAGCGCCTGGGGTGATGATCAGGCCGGTCACCATGTAACGTCGTGGACTCTGAATGTAGTATATCTCTGGATGGTCGGCCTCACAGCCCAAGGTATAGAGAGAATGGTGCTTCGTCTCTAGCGCAAGAAAACCACATCGTTCGTTCCAATATGGTGTCACTTGCGCAGTTCATATCGTCCACGGACGGCGTGCAACGCAACGCCGTGCCGTTCGCGTTTGGTGCGCTAGCTCACCTCTTTTGTTTCCGCGTCGGCGACTGGGATCTTCAGACGACGAAGCTGCTCGCCGCGTTTCTGGCCACGCAGGGGCTGCTCGCAGTGTACATATTCAAATCCGACGTGGACGGCCTTGCCACGGCGTGGCAGTCGTGGAAGATTGCAGCGCAGCTCTCGTTTTCCTTTCTCGCGGGCCTTTACGCCAGTCTCTTGACGTATCGTGCGGCGTTTCATCGATTAAACCGCTTCCCCGGACCATTTGCCGCCAGAATGTCGAACTTTTACATCACTCGGCGTTCTGTCAAGAACTTTCAGCTGTTCCAGGAAGTGCAGGATCTGCACAAGCAGTATGGCGATATCGTTCGAATCGGTGGGTGTCGTCAACCAGGATTCGGGATCTGAAGAGAAGAACGCTAACATGAGAGCACAGGTCCCTCTGAACTGTCCATCGCAGACCCCTCGTTTTTCCACCACATCCATTCAAACTCGTCGCCATTTGTCAAGGGGCCATGGTACAATATTCTCCATCCCGTCGTCTCCCTCCAGCTGGTGCGCGACAAGAAGGAGCACAGCCGACGCCGCAAGACCTGGGACAAGGGCTTTGGTTCCAAGGGTGAGTGCATCCATCCACGGTTTCTTTTTTTTTTTTTTTTGTCTATCAACAGAAAAGCTAAGATATCCTCAGCGCTCCGTGATTACGAACCCCGCGTTGTCAAGTACACGGATCAACTGCTCAACCAGATCAAGCAGACAGAAGGCAAGCCCATCAACGTGTCAACGTGGTTCAACTTCTACAGCTTCGACGTCATGGGCGATCTCGCCTTCGGCCGCAGCTTCGACATGATGAAGGACGGCATCGTGCACTACTACATGCAGGCCGTGCACACCAGCATGCAGGCCGTCGCTGCGTTCAGTCACCTCGTGTGGATTTTCCCGCTCTTCAAGGAGATTCCGGGTCTCAATCATGAGCACCTCAAGTTTCAAGCGTGGCTTCACCAGCACGTCAAACAGAGGCGGGAGAACAAGCCGGAGATTCCAGATGTCTTCTCTGGAATTTTAAACGACTACGAGACCCTCGAGAAGCCGACGAAGCAGGACATGGTCAACCTCGTCGGCGATGCGCACCTGATTGTCGTTGCTGGAAGGTAAGACACGCCCCCTTCAGCCGCCCCTTAGCTCGTGCCATGTCCAAGTGTATGCAGCCGCTTACGTGACCCCGCAGCGACACGACAGCCGCCTCCCTCACCTGCCTCTTCTACAACCTGGCGCGCAACCCGCAGGTCATGGCCAAGCTCCAGGCGGACCTCGACGCGTACCACGTCGAGCATGAGCAGGCCGACCACCTGTCGCTCTCGAAGCTCAAGTACCTCCAGGCGTGCATCGACGAGTCGCTGCGGCTGTTCCCGCCCGTGCCGTCGGGCGTGCAGCGCATGAGCCCGCCCGAGGGCCAGCAGATTGGCGACGTCTTCATCCCCGGCAACACGGTCGTGCAGGTCCCGTCGTACACGCTGAACCGGGACGCGCGGGTGTTTGTGCGGCCGGACGAGTTTGTGCCGGAGCGGTGGACGACGGCGCCTGAGCTGACGAAGGATGCTTCGGTGTTTGCGCCTTTCTCTGTTGGTATGTGTTTATTTTTCATGTGTCCTTGATTTCTGTTCCTTTCTTTTCAATTTTTTTTTTCTTTTTTTTTACGTCTTCGTACTCGGCTTGGTCTTTTTTCTTTCTTTTCTTTCTTTTGCCGCTTCAAATTCCTCTTCAAGATCTGGGAAACGTACTAATGCTTGCTTCCTGATAGGCCGATACTCGTGCGTTGGAAAGCAGCTGGGCCTCATGGAGCTAAGGTTTGTCACGAGTCAGATCCTGCGTACGTACGATGTGGGCTTTGCGAAGGATTTCGATCCTAGCACGTTTCCCGCTGGACTGCAGGACACCTTCACGCTGGCGACATCCAAGCTGGACTTGGTGTTCACGCGAAGAAAGGAGGTGGCGAACCCCTGAGTAGTGGGAAGTGCTAGCTAGCTGCCGTCGCATCGTAGTCTCGATCCGAGGTGCAAGCCACCAGGAGAGACACACTGGTAGGCTTGTCTTTGGCTTGGTAGGGCGTAAGGCAGAGGTGGTGGGTGGGTAGGGTTTCATTAGTTCATAGCAAGTCTGGATTTAGTTTTTCTGGCCTGCACCATCATCTTTACGGAACCATGCATGCAGAAGCAGCAGCTTTAGTAGCAGCAGCAGCAGCAGCAGCAGCAGCAGAAGCAGTGCAATCGACATCATCATGTGCATCACCTTTCTTTTGCGTCTTGCTCATCCAGTCGTTCCGTGTCGTCGGTGTCGTCGGTGGTCCGAAATCCATGAGCAGCTGAAGCCAAGCTGAGGTGCGATGGTCGGCGCTTGGACGGATGCGGTTAGCAGCGTGGCCGGTAGAGCCCCTGTAGCTTCCCCGCGTTAACCAGTGGGGACCACTGCGCGTCTCTTGGTGCTTAGGTCTTAGGTCTTGGGTCTTTGGGACGAGGTGCACCCGTGAATGCCGATGCGTAGTGGGATCGTTCGGGATGCTTAGGTGACCTGCTGAGGTACCTACCCTACCTACCTAGGTACCTCCCCAGGTACCTAAGGCAGCCTGGGTACCTACCCAAGGTAGGGAAGGTAGCCAGGCACCTAGGCAGACAAGGGCAGGCGCTAGGCACGCCCGGGAAGGCACTACGCAGGCATCCCATGGGCCGCTGCTACCCCAACGCGTCGTTTTTATCGACCGGCACCAGCACCTCCCTTGGCTCATTTCTGCCCTGAAAGCTTGCCTACCAAACTCCTCATCTCCAAAACCTCCATGCTCACTCGTCCACTTTATCCACAGAAACATGCCTGCCGCCCAACGTCGTCGCACATGAGGACGGCCATCTCCATCGACCGCAACTGACTCTCTACCCCTCCCATCCCGGTCCCGTCATCCGTAAAATGGCGCCTCCACCCGCTCAAGCGGCTGGCGAGCCCAACGGCAACGGCGCACCCGTGGACAAGGCCACGGCACGCCGCCAGAAGAAGCGAGAGCAGGATCGCAAGGCCCAGCGTGTCGCACGCGAGCGAAAGAACAACCGCATCGCCCATCTCGAGGCCCTCGTCGACCGTCTGAGCCAGGACAATGCCGACTCGGAGGTGCCCGTTCTGATGGACCGTCTGGCCACCGTCACCAAGCAATCCCATTCTCTGCTCGAGGTCCTGCGTTCGCTCGAGTCCACCATCCACCGCCACATTGAGCAGGCTACCACCACGTCCCCTAAGATGCTGCCTCCGCCGAGTGAGACGGGCATGGACGTGGAAACCTCGAGCAGCAACGGCAGCGCCAAGGGTCACGCCCCCCATCGAGCGTCGGAACCCGGACCGCCAAGCGCGCCTACGCCCGGCGCTCCGTGGGCGTCATCGCCGGAGAATGATCATCAACTCGGGGACGACATGTCGGCTCCTCCCGGATCGAACCCGTGGGACTCGTTCGCGGGTCCCTATTATGATGTCCCTTTCGATGACGTTTCGCAGTTCGGCCCACCCATCCCCGAGCTTGTCCCATCGGAACCAGACACGGCCAGTACCACGGCCGACGTTATTGTTCCCTTGCCGCCGACGACCGACTGTCCGTGTCTGATAGGATCCCACCAGCCGCCTGGCACGCGGCGGCCACCAGGCTTCAACACCTGGCGAGCCGCCAATGAGGCCCTCGGCAAGGCGTCCACGCCACTACGCCCAGAGGACGCTGTGCGAGAGGACAGCACGAGCCACGACACGCCTATCCGCGCCGTATTGGAAGGCTGGGACAGTGTGGAAGCCGCCGGCTTGATGACGGACAGCTGGCGGAAACTAAGACTGGTCGATGAAATTTGCTTTATGAAGTGCGGCAAAATCGAACGGGTGGCCATCCTGCGCATGATGCACCTCATGATGACCTACCACGGAGATCCCACTCCCGGAAGACTGTCTTCCCTGCCTCGGTGGTTTTGGATGAGGTAAGTGTGCCCTCGGATGGGACAAGCACCTCAGGAACGCGAACTGACGCGCCCACCCAGACCGTCACAAGCCTTGGCCCACTCATATGCCATTGACTATTTTGTTTGGTATGTAATCTGCTCTTCGCGTTTTGCCCAAGGCGTGTCTGACAAGGGGAACCACAGGCCTGGTGTCCGGGAGCGCTTCGTCTTCTCCCAGCACCGCTACTGTACCAACCTCTTCTGGCAGCTCTTCCAGAGCAACTTCAAGGTAAAATGGCAGTACGGTTTCCGCGACTGCTACATGCGAGATCGTCTCACTGGCAAGTTTTCGTTGTCGCCCATGTTCGAGCAGACCATAAGCAACATCAGAGCCTGGACCATGGATACCGACTTCTTCACCCACTTTCCCGAGCTCTGCCAAGACATCCCTAGGGTCGAGGGTCTGCCGATCGCGGTAGGGTCCGCGCGGAAGGACGCCCAGCAGGTCTGGGAAGAGACACAACACCATGCTGTCGTGCGGGCCGCTCGCCCCTTTGTCGGCCCTATGCTGGTATCCGACGGGTCAAATGACCAGGTGGATGGTGCAAGACTGTACGACGGAGCGCCTTCAACGTTTGCACTCCACACTAGGTGATCTTCAGGGTAGGTCAATGCGGAGAGGAGTCCGGCAGAGCAAGATCTGCCATCCGGAAATGCCCCTCCGCCAGATCGCGAAACAATGCTTAATGCAGGACTTGTGGGTCTATGGAATGTACCGGTCTGCGGAATGTCAGGGTCCCTTGGCTCGACCCCAAATCTGTGGGCGACCCTTGTGCATTCCGCAACACAAATGGGATCGTCGGTCAAATCTAAGTTAAGCAGAGATCTGGCATTCCACACTGCGAGCAAACCCCTCTATGAAGAACCATACAGAGGTCCATGCGTTTGCCTGTCGACCTCATCTACGGGACGACGCGCGAAACACCATGAGTGCGGGGTTCGTGATGGACCGGCCGAGAGACACGCCGATGAGGTGCTTACAATCCAGGGACCTAGACCACGATTCTCTTGGTTCAGACTGGACATATCAACGCCGTATGCGTCTGCAACAACACTTCTGTGAGCTATAAAGAAAGGTGGTTCTGGCCTCCATCAGCCAAATTATCACCTCATCACCACAACATCCTTCATCACTACACCTCTCGCTTCGGATCACTCACCACAATCGTTTCAGACGACCATTCACTCTTTTCACCAAAGCACCTCAGATCAAACCTCCCTACCATCAACATGAAGGCCTCCACCACCATCCTCGCCCTCAGCGCCCTTGTGGCCTCCACTTCGGCCAAGCCGATCAGCAGGATGATCAGCGTCAAGATGCCCGCCGGCGCCATGGCCAACAAGATGACCTCCGACTCCATGGTGCGTCGCGAGGTTGAGATGGGTGCTGCCGCCACCACCCCCGCCGTCCCTGAGACCCCCACTGGCGCCGCCGCCGCCCCTGAGGCTGTCCTTGAGTCTGCCAAGGTCAACGAGAACCCTAGCCCGGCCCAGAAGGACGAGGCTAAGGTCGCTCTCGACAAGCTCGAGGAAGTCAAGGGCACCGTCAGCGATGCCAAGGGCAAGATCCACGCCGTCATGGAGATGGAGGGCGATGTCGATATGGACGCTCTCAAGACCATCGTCAACGATGTCAACATGAAGATTGTCGACATTGGCAGCATTGGCGGTATTCTGGGCGGTAACGCCGGTATCGACCCCATTTCTGCCGCCACTGGCCTCGCTACAGATGTCGTCAACGGCGTTGGCGGTCTCCTCTCCAACATCTTTGGCGGTGGCCGCCGCCGTGTCCCTACCAGCGCATCTGGCTCTATCGGCATCGACGGCCTGCTTGGCTCCGTCGATGGCCTTCTCGGCGGAGGCACTGGCCTCAATGGAGGACTCCGTGGCGCTGCCTCCGGCGCCGGTAGCGCTGCTGGAAACGTCGGCGGCAGCCTCGGTCTCGGTTTCGGCGGAAAGCCTCCCGGTCGCAACGGCGGTCTCATTGGACTCGCCAACGGACTCACTGGAGGTATCACGGAGGGTATCCGCGGCATTGCCAACGACCTCACCGGCGGCCTGAGCGAGACCGCTCTCGATATCGCTGACGGCTTCACTGGCGGACTCGTCCGGGGTAACGACCGCGGCCAGGCCGGTGCCTCGGGTTCTCTTACCGGAACCATCGGCCGCCTGCCCGGCGGCCTGACTGGTGGCCTGACTGGCAACCTGGGAGGTCTCACTGGCAGCATTGGCGGCAACATTGGCGGCGCTGCTGGACAGACCGGAAACTCGAGCGGCGGCGACAAGACCGGCTCTCAGCCCGGCAAGACTGGTTCTCAGCCCGGCAAGACCGGCTCTCAGCCGGGCCGCCCGCGCAAGGAGACCTTCAACCTCAGCGGTCTCGAGGGCTTTGATCTCGAGGCCCTTGGCTTCGGCGATGTCGATGTCAACAACCTCACCGAGGCTGAGCTGCGCGAGATCAACGAGGTCCTTGACCTCGGCATCGACGTCGATGCCCTCGTCGCCAGCATCCGCAACTAAGCGAAAAAGAAACTGCTTTCAAAAGGGGGTTGGGATTTGGCGTGTGGATGTTCACCAGATTGAGGATTTTGTAAGCACAGCGGGGGACGCCCCAGAATACTGTTTGCTCCCATCTTTTAGGTTTCATAAGGCTCGGGTTCTAGCGAAGACATTAGCAAAATATCATTACCTCTCTTTCTCACTACATGACGCTGCACCATCCTTTGATTTTCCCCTCTATTTTGACAGTCTACTCACTCATTTGCCTTCGTACTGACCACGTGGTGATTCAGGCATTGACTCTTAAAGAAACTACATTACTTCAGTCTAGGTCATCAATACTACATCAAGAAACCGGAACCCTTTCCAACGAAATGCAAGCCCAGCAGACGTGAGGTTCCCAGCAAACAAACCAAGGAAAAAATAAACATCCAATCATCACAGCACACCAAATAATTACTCAAACAGTACAGCCTCCGGCTCCCTCACGAGGCTCTCGACAATGGCCCCGACCTCGGCCAGCAGCTCCTTCGCGTGCTCGGCCCACGACTCGAACGTGATGACCTCGATCGTCAGCTTGTCGCCCTCGGGGAAGGCCTGGATCTTCCACTCGCGCAGCGGCTCCTCGTGCGGGTAAATGGTCTCCATGCGGCCGCTGACGCCGGCGAAGCCGAGGCTCTCGACGTGCTCGACGTCCTGGTGGACGACCGAGTCGAACCAGTCGACGCTCGCGGGCCAGTCGGTGCACTGGCGCACGACCTCGGGCAGGCCGACGCCCTCGTGCGCCGATGAGGCAATGTGCTGGTTCTGCACGTGGGCGAGGAGGTCGGCGGCCGTCCAGCCGGCGGCGAACTGCACGCGCAGCGGCACGTACTGCCAGCAGGGGCCGACGACGGCGTCGGCGTTGGGGAAGTCGATGGTGCGGCCGCTGACGACCTCGCCAAAGGTGACGTCGCGCGTCGCCAGGCGGCGCGCGAGGCAGAGGGCCCAGGCCGCCGTCGGGAGCGTGGCGACCGTGATGTCCTTGGAGCGGGCCGAAATGTCAAACTGCCTGTGCACCGCAAAATGGTTGCGCTTGACGACGGGCGTGTCGGGCTTGAGCACGGAGAGGGACGAGCCCTTGAGAAGGTCGCGCCAGTAGTCGAGGCCCTTGGGTATGTTCGACTTGACAACGTGGCCGACGTACGACGAGAAGGGGAGGCTGTTGGGGACGGGCTTGTCCTCGTGCAGAGCCGACAGCTGCTGCAGCATGACGGGCAGGCAAATCTCGTCGTACTGCGCGTGCGAGACGCGGAAGATGAGCGCCGACGGGCCGCTGCTGCTTTGGACGAAGAACCACTTGACAAAGCACGAGCCGAGCGGCATCCTCGTGTAGCTGTCCATGGTGCAGAGCTGCTTGACAAAAGGCTCGACGTCTCCGTCAATCTCATACTCCGCCACCGGCGTTTCAATGTGCTCCAGTACCACGCCCAGATATGACTCCTTGTGGGCGATGAAGACGGTGCGCAAGATCTCGTTGCGCGTGACAAGCTCTTGGCAGCTCTGGTATAGCTGTGCCTTGTTGACGTCGCCGTCAAAGTACATGGCCTCGTATCTCACCGAGAAGCGAGGCAGCTGGATGGTGCCCTTGATGGCAGCATCCTGCAGCGGCCTCGTGGGCAGCACGTTGATGACGTTCCACGACTTGTCCGCCAGTGCGGGACGAACCGTGTTGACGAGGAACTTGGTAGCTTGCGCCTCCTCGACGAGCTCAAAGGGCTCGAGGGGCTCCACGATCTCCTTGTTCTGCGTGGGCTCCGAATCCTCAAGGACACTGGCCATGTCAAACAGGGTTCTGTTCTTGAACACCTGAGCGACGGTCAGGCGCAGGTTGTCCGCGCGAGCCTCGGACACGAGCTTCATGGCGGAGATCGAATCACCACCGAGCCTGAAGAAGCTGTCGTTGAGACCGATATCCTCCTCCGTCAACCTCAATACACGGCTCCAGAGCGTCCGCAGGCGTCGCTGCTTTGCCGAAGTCGCCGAGATCTTCTTGACAGGGCGACTGGGGGCCGCGCTCTTAGCGGCAGCGCTCTTCTTCTCTGTGATCTGGACGGAGCCGTCGGCGCTGAGCTTGGCGAGCTTACCGGTCTTGAAGAACTTGGCGGCCCTCTGCTCGTCCGCGTGACCGTTGACAACATCTAGCCAGAGGGGCTCGTCCATGGTCGGGAGAGAAAGATCCGCTGTGCTCACGACGACGAGCTCTCCAAGTGCCTCGAGAGGCGCCAGGCGCGTGCTATCCTGTGGGTCGACGATCCAGACAGCCCGAGTCTCGGGGTACTTGTCCTGCACGCTTTGCGGGTTCTTGATGCTCGCGCGCCAGAGCTCAACCTGGTCGTCGTTTGTAAGGTAGCGCAAGTCTCGGATAGGAGCGTCCGTCATCTCGCAGAGCTGGGTCGCGACACGAGCGAACTGGTTTAGGGCCCGCTCCATCAAGGACTTCTCAACCGTGTTGGAGTCGAAGCTGGCCATGACCGAGAAGCCCTTCGAGTCGAGGGCGCAGACGAGCATGAGCGCATACGTGTTGAATTTCAAGGCCTCCTGTGCGGCCTCCGAGTCACCGGCGGGCACAAGTCTGTCGGCAGGGTAGACCGCCGTGTTGGGTTGCGCTTCACCCTCGGCACTGGGATGCAGAACAAGGCCTGTCCGCAGTTCGCAGGCCTCGTAGGCGTCGGGGCTGAGACGGCGAATGTGCTGCAGGCCCGTGTGCTCGTAGGGAATCTGCTGGGCGGTCGAGTCTTGAATCTCCTGGAGATACTCTGCGACACTGCTCTCGTCGTTGATCTGGACACGGAACGGAATGGTGGTGATCATGGGGCCTTCAATCTCTTCGGCGCCCCTGAGGGCAGCATTGCGCCCGGTGAGCGTCTCGCCATAGACGACGTCCGTTGTTGCGCTGTAGCGCGAGGCAACATAGGCCCACGCACCACGAATGACAGTCGCCACTGTCGTGTTGGACGCTGGTCGACCAGACAGCGGTACGTGGATCTCAAGAAGCGAGTCCGCTTGCGTCTGATAGCCTTCATACGGCAGAGCCGGGAACTGAGGGCCATTGACGCCCTGCAGCCTCTCCCTCCAGAAGGTCTCGCCTTCTTCGCGACTCACTGTGTTGAGGTAGCGGATGAAGTTCTTGAACTCGGCCGGGCGCTGCACCTTCTGGCCGTCATATGCTTTATTGACGCGATCGACGACCAGGGGCATGGACCATCCATCATAGAGCGCGTGGTGCATGGTGAGAACAAAGTATACCTTTGATGATTCGGGGCTGGTAATGAGAGCGTATCGCACAAGGGGCTTGCCGAGGTCCATTGCCTCGTCGCGGTCCTTCACAAGGTAGCCCTGGAGGTCATCGCCAATGTGCCAGGCAATTTTCTCGTTGACAACGACTTGGACGAGGCCGTGCTGGGGCACCTGGACAATCCTCGTCCTCAAAATGGGGCAATCTGTAGCGGCCGTATCGAAAGCCGACCTCAGCTTGTCCGCCATCGCGGCATCATCGAGGTCCACCACTCGCTGCGCAACGTAGGCCTCCTTAACCTTTGCCGACAAGGCCATCAAGGCTTCCTGTAGAGGCGTACAGGGATACACGTCCTCAACCGTGGCTTCCTCAATCTCGCACAGTTTCGCGACGTCAGCACTGGCAGCCTCACGGCTCCAGTCCATGTCAAGCAACGAGAAGGGCTCCACGGCTTCTTGCGTCTCCTGCGAAGCCGTAGTCGCGGTGGCGGCCATTTCCTTCAGCGTAGGACAGTTGAAGATGTTCGCTACAGTTAGGACAATACCTTCATCCCTGGCAGCTGCGACGAGACGCATAGCTCGCAGTGAGTCGCCTCCGAGAGCGAAGAAGCTGTCTTGCAGACCAATCTCGGACGCTGTGCCCAGGATCTTGACCCACGATCGGTGCAAGGCCTTCTCCATGTCGGATTGTGGCGCCGTGTTCTCGGCGCTGACAGCGCGCAGACGGGCAACCTCCTCCCTGCTCATCGACGATCCCAGCTCGCGGAGACGCTTGCGGTCGATCTTTCCAGAAACAAGCGAGGGCATTTTGCGCAGAGGAATGTACGACGACGGGACCATGTATCGAGGAATCTCGGCTCCAAGAGCTGTGTCAATCTCGGCGACGATTTGGCTGAGCTCTGCGGAAAGAGTCGTGAGATCGCCCTCTCCGTCATCGGTCGCGGCTGATGCCTGCTCGACGATGAAGGCCACCAGCGTCGGCTCTGTGCCGCCCGGCTTGATGACTTCGGCCGCAATCTTGACACTGGACGGGAGCTTACCCCGGAGATGGTGTTCCACCTCGGCCAGCTCGATACGCTGTCCGCGAAGCTTGACTTGCTGGTCCTTGCGGCCGACAAAGGCGATGGCGCCGCTGCCATCAGGGTCATACCTGACCAGGTCACCCGTCTTGTACAAGAGACCGTGGCGGCCGGGCGCGCCGCCGCCGCCGGCGAGAAGCCAGGTAGGATCCTTGATGAAGACTTCGGCCGTCTTTGTGGGGTCATTGAGATAGCCCAGGCCCACGACGGGGCCCTCGATGAGGAGCTCACCGACGGCGCCGACGGGCATCAGGCGGTCGTGGTCGTCAGGGTCGACGATCCAAGTGAGGCCGCCAGTCCCTTTGCCGATATTGGTCGATGTGCTACTGACGCTCCCGTTGATGGTGCAACCAACTGTGCACTCGGAGGGGCCGTACGCGATGATGACCTTGGCACTTTGACTCCAGGCTGAGGCATCACCAGCAGACACAGCCTCACCGCCTAGGCCAAGGACTTCGAGGGACGGGATTACATTAGAGTCCAGAACTCTGGCGACGGAGGGCGTCATGTGCGCCATGTTGCTCTTGCTCTTGCGGATGGCGTCACTGAGGTCATTCATGCGATCCTCATCGGAGGGGATGCAGAGGCATCCGCCATTCGCAAGCGTGCAAAGCATGCAGTCGATGCTCACATCGAAAGCATAGGAGGCAAAGTCGAAGACGCGGGAGTGCGACCTGTAGCCGACAAGATCGGCTCGAGGAACAGCACCGCTGGTGTAGTTCTCGTGAGAGCACATGACACCCTTGGGCTTGCCGGTACTGCCAGAGGTAAATTGGATGTAGAGGGGCGATGAGGTCGGGATCGTGGGAAGAGCAGCGTCAGGCTCCGGCGTCAACTGCTCGAGCGTCTCACCAGAGACGACAACTGTGGTGGTGGCATCGCCAGCAATGCGTTCACCTAAGGTGCTCTGGAGTTGCGAGGTGATGAGCAGTCTGGCATCCGTCTGCTCAACGATCGTCCGCAGACGGGCTTCCGGCTGGCTGGGATCTGTGAGCGCAAAAGCAGAACCGGCTTTCATGACGGCAAGCAGAGCAACAATGGTCCATCGCGACTTCTCAAAGCAAAGCGGAATGATGCCCCCGACCTGCGCTCCGCGGGCGACCAGGTGCTTGGCCAAGCGTGTAGAAAGGGCCTCCACCTCGGCGTACGTGAAGTTACCGTCCCATGACTCGATGGCATGGGCGTCCGGTTGAGAGGCGGCCTGTTCGGTGATCATATCGTGCATGCATTGCTCCATCAGCGGCGGCAGTGTGGCGTTCCATGACCACAATTGATCAAGGTCTGCCAATGTCGGGCCAGTAGCATCTGAGACGGATCGCTCTGGGTGCTCCAGGATTGTGGTAAGAATGTCGATGAATGAGTTGAGTCTTGTCGTGGCGAGACTTGTTGACAACGCTGTTCGGCTCCAGTCCGCTTTCACGATCAACTCCTGTTCAGAATATGAGACCTCGATCTGGTATGTCCACTGTCATGGGTTAGCTTGCGGTGGTTTTGTAGAGGATCGGCACCTCACTTCGCGAAAGTTGGTTTGTGAGTCCTTCTCACGACCACTTTTGGTGGCTGCTGATCCGTTGTTGAACAAAAGTGTGTGTTGCGTGGTGCTCTCCTGTTCGGGTGTCGGAGGGTCTAGCTGCTGGACAGCTTCCAGTGCTGATGTCAAGGAGCAGTTCTTCTGGAAGGGAATGTTGCTCAGGTCCAGGGAGTGGCTCGTCTCAGACGATTGTCCGCCGTTGATCCTGGCGCCCCAAGAAATCTGGCTGCCATCGTCATTCTCGCGGTACAGCACCAAGATCCAAGCGAGCAAGAGCTCAAGCCTGGGGGCGGCGGTAGTGTTCACTTCGGATCGGGGAGTAAAGGGTATCGTGCGGGTAGAGGAAGGGTTGTTTTCCGGGGTCCTGGCCGAACTGACGGCTGTACCGCCGCTCTCGCTGTCTCGCCGAAGATACATGGTAACAACGCTGAATGGGTATAGTATCACAAGGTGTTGGAAAGAAAAGGTTGAGCTGGTGAACAAGACGAGGAACGGAGGCGCCGTTCAGGCTTCAAGATGGAAAAATCACAGGCGTTCGCATCCGAACCACTGGCCACGAGCTCCGATGCTTCCTCTCGCGCCTCACAGGTATGCCCCGAGCTCTTCGCCTCATCCGGTGCCCATGCCCGACCCATGTTGCCTGCATGACAGGAAGATGGGACTCTATCCAGAAATGCCGCGCGAGTGCTGCAAACTTCCCACCACAGTCCCCACATGGTGTTGATCACAAGCACCTGGAGAGAAGGGCTAGAATAGTGTCTTCACTGCTGCCTCGGTTCTCGTTGCCCTTGACGCTGGCTCGCCTGGCTGCAGTGCGTGGGTTGCAGTGATGAACCAAGTGGGCAGGTAGGGTGTTGTCACGCCCCCCCACCCCTCCCTTTCACGCCCCTTGCGCTGAAAAGGGTACTTCAAAGTACATGCCAAGACGGCCCCGTAGGGAGGGACCGATGAGAGGATGATCCCAGGCCCATCCGAAGACGATGTGGGCCGTGCAAGTCTTTGGATTGTTGGAGCTCGCTCGAACGAGAAGATCTGATAACTCTATTTCGCCATGAAGGGTACCTCGTCGTAGCCCATGACTCCATGAGTCGTCTTCGTTAGCCTTGTCGAGAGTGCACCAGTAGCGCACGAGCAGCCGGCGTTCGCCGCTCGCGGAGATGGCGAAAGCGAGCGGTGCTGTGTAGCAATCTATTATCGGGGAGATCTCGTGGGAGAAGTTTTCTCGTGCCATGGCATCCTCAGGGATCAGCGCATTGAAGACTTGGCCTTGCCCGATTTCGGCACTTGCGTCGTCGGTGGAGTCTGTTAGCTCTGGCTAGGCTGGTTGGATCCAACGGCTTGCATGGGGAGATGAGTGGCTTGATGTCATGAAAGAGGTGGTCTCCATGGACCCCGCCATGTTGCGAGGTGTCAGATCAGATACGAAAAGGAAACTGAAAACCCCCGGAGCGAGTGGGAATGCGAGATGCGCGGCATGTGAAACGTCTTATACCCACGCGAGGCGTTTTCCCTCTCTGGGTAGGAGCTCACCTCCTGTATAAACGACTATGGCGTTGTGTGTGTAAACGATGATGCATCAGGATGGAATGAATTCGAAAGAAGGCATCGTGAGAGAAAGCCTCGTTCATCGACTGAACGGACAGAGAGAGGGCTACGTGACAAGCGGAGCTATTGGTGTCCGCTTGGCGGCTACCGCCCCTTAGGTCCGTGGGATGAACAAGAAGTTTTTGGCTTAACCATGATGCGAGCGACTTATGAATCAGCTCGCATGTGTGCCTGTGTAAGTGTGCTTGCGTTCCGTCACAACCGCGGCGACCTCGCAATGCCGTAGGAGGGGGGGGGGGGTGGTTCAAACGATCCAGGGTGTCCGTGGGTTCAGAGTGCGCGGGTGATCAAAGCAGGGGCAGCGTCAAATGGGTGGCCGAGAACGAGCGTGGTCGCAGGCAGGGATGCAAGGTCAACGAACCGTCCCGCGCCGCACTTCCGCTGTAGGCATAGGCAGCTTATTGTATCTGGGTCCTCGGTCATGGTGCAGCAGAAGTTGTGACGGCGCCCTTGAGGTGACGTCGATATGGCTGATCGGGACGCGCTGGCAAACGAGCCTTTCTTTTGTCGCCAGAACGTCTCGATGCTAGAAAGCCTACCACCAAAGTATATCGAGTAAAGAAGCACAATGTACGTAAGACCAAGGCAATGGCCCGTCTTCTTTCGTCTTCATCTCGAGCAAGCGGCCAGGAGACCTGTGACGTGGGGCCGTGGCCACTCGTCGAAGACACAGGGTCGGAGGCGATGTCCGAACTGGTGCTTGGCCGAGCTGCAATGCGACCATGTCGTGCGTGCGTTGACAGTGGCTGGGTGTGGTGGTGTGCACCATGGGTACCATGGTGTGGTGTGTCATGGCGAGCTCGTGAAGAAGAGGCAAGGAAAAGAGGTTAGCACGAAACAGGGCCCTAGGTAACAAAGCACCTTACCATTCCGTGATGGTGGAGATGGCGCGGTGGGGGGCAGGAGAGGGAAGGTGGAAAGCGAGAGGTGTGGGCAAGATGCGAGGTGCTGCAAAAAAAGCAAAAGGGCGAGTCGAGGCGAGAAGAGACGAGACGAGAGGAGACGAGGCGATCGATGCCCTAGTGTGGCACCGTTGTGGATGCGTGAGGTTGGAGATATGGGGCCATCGTGGCTTCACAGCATCTGAGTGGCTGTACTCGTTGCGTGCCCGACCTCGGCGTGGGGCGGTGATGAAAAATCTTATCTGATCATCAGATTAGATCCAGTCCCTAACCCTCCCCACGGCCGACTCTATCCGATCCTTGTCCATAACGTGCCAGCTGGCCAGCTCACCAGCTTGCAGCCTGCTAGCATGATGGATTGGCACAACACCCCAGACGACCATCATGCACCCAAAACTTTTATCCCGCACCCCTTGAGATTTCATCACCGTTGTGCGAGCCTTGACCTGACCATGGTTCGCCCACCCACTGGGCTAGCCCCCCCGCCCTGGCGGGACTCATTGCCTGTTTGGCTCAAGTCCTGCTGGGAACGAAGGGTCCCGTCCGTCTCGACTTGCCAGCTGAAGAAACCCGCCTGGTCTTTGGGATGACGGAATGTCAGTTTCGGCGTCAGCCGCCGATCCAGAAGTAGGGGTCTCAACAGGCATGACTGACGCAAAATGCTCGGCCGACAAGAAAAAAAAGTACGCCGAGGACCAAACCGGGCCAAATCGTGTGGCGTACTTTTGTGTGTAAACCTATCGCTCGCTGTCCGGAGGGGGAGCTTTCAACGCCATAGATTCCTGCTCTATCGAAGGCTAGACTTGGTTTGACAGCAACTCCATCCCAAAGAGAAAAAAAAAAGAACAGCACCAAGATGGCGACCGAGACAGTATCCCTTCCTTCCAGCGAGCCCGTCACGCCGACACAAAGGCTATCGATCCTCCATGGCCCTGTCGACCCGCCTCTGATTGACTTGAGCCTGGGCGAGCTCCTCGAACTCCAAACCTACCACCACGGCACCAAGGAGTGCATCGTCATTCCATGGACAGGCACGAGATGGACGTACAACGACCTCAATCAGCAGACGCTGCTGCTGGCTCAGGCCCTGCTGAACCAGGGCATCGGTGTTGGTGATCGTGTGGGCATCATGGCTGGAAACTGCGAGCAGTATGCTGCGGTTTTCTTTGCCGTGGCACGAATCGGCGCCATTCTCGTCATCCTCAACAACACATATACGCCCACGGAGGCCATGTACGCTCTGAAGTTCTCCGGTAGGTCGAGCTCCTCTCGTGCGGGCTGGATCGGTGACCGCTGACCGTACGTGAACCCCAGATTGCAAGATCTTCTTCACAACGCACAAGATTGGCCGTCTCGACAACGGCCGCCTCCTCGCCGATGTCAAGTCCCAAGCCCCGAATGTCAAGGTCTTCATGCTGCGCGGCGAGGCTGGCCCGTACCAGACCTACAACGACCTCATCAAGTCGAGTGCCCGCCAAAGCTTTGACGACCTCCACCACGCCATGAGCAAGGTCGTCCCGCACCAAGTGTGCAACCTCCAGTTCACCAGCGGTACGACAGGCCTGCCCAAGGCCGCCATGCTCACGCACCAGTATGGACCCCGGACCCCCGTCGCGTTCACTTGATCGTCCCTAACAACAGCAGCTCCCTCGTCAACAACGCCCGCTTCATCGGCGACCGCATGCGTCTCACGCCCTCCGACATTCTCTGCTGCCCGCCGCCCCTCTTCCACTGCTTCGGCCTCGTCCTCGGCCTCCTCTCCGTCGTCACGCACGGCGCCAAGATCGTGTACCCGGCCGAAGTCTTCGACGTGCCGGCGACGCTCTCGGCCATCCTCGACGAGCGCTGCACGGCGCTGCACGGCGTGCCCGCCATGTTCGACTCGCTCTTCCAGGCGGCGCCCGACGACTTTCGCTCGTCGCGCATCCGCACCGGCATCGTCGCCGGCGCGCCCGTGCCCCGCTACCTCATGGAGCTCATGGTGCGGCGGCTCGGCATGCGCGAGTTCACGTCGAGCTACGGCCTCACCGAGGCGTCGCCGACGTGCTTCAACGCCTTCACCGACGACGCCCTCGGCAAGCGCCTCACCACCGTCGGCACCCTCATGCCCCACGCCCAGGCCAAGATTGTCGACCGCGACGGCAAGATTGTGCCCCTCGGCGCGCGCGGCGAGCTCTGCATGGCCGGCTACCAGCTGCAGGCCGGCTACTGGAACAACTCGGAGAAGACGAACGAGGTCATGGTCCGCGACGCCGCCGGCACGCTGTGGCTGCACACGGGCGACGAGGCCGTCTTTGACGAGGACGGGTACTGCACCATTACCGGCCGGTTCAAGGACATAATCATTCGAGGTACGTCATCTCCGCCCTAGTCTCGCTTTCTGTTCTCTACTTCTTTTCCCTCTTTTTTTTCATCTTTCTTCTCCGTCCCTTCGTCTCGTGTCCAAAAACTAACAGCACAGGCGGCGAAAACATCTACCCCCTCGAAATCGAAGAGCGCCTCCTCGCCCACGAGACCATCACCCAGGCCGTCGTCGTCGGCCTCAAGGACGAGCACTACGGCGAGGTCGTCGCCGCGTTCCTGCAGCGCGCCGAGGGCGCCGACACGGCGCGGCTCTCGGACCAGGACATCAAGGCCTGGGTGCGGCAGACGCTGGGCGGGCACAAGTCGCCGTCGCACGTCTTCTGGCTGGGCGAGGACGGCGTGCCGGCCGACGTGCCGCTGACGGGGAGCGGCAAGGTGCGCAAGTTTGAGATGGCCAAGACGGGGGATGAGATTCTGAAGAAGAGGAAGGGCGTTGTGGCTGCGAAGCTGTAATGGTTTCTAGGGTTTCGAATTGGACAGTAGTTTTTTTTTTCGGGGGGTCGGACTGTAGAGCGTTTTGTCTTTTTTCTTTTCCTTTCTAGAACGAGATAGAGTCAATGGTATGGCGTTTGGTTCAGATACGCGATGGATTGTGCTGGAAGAATAGAGTAAGCGATCGCGTTGCTCGGCAACTTGACACACCCCACCATATCCGTGTGCAATCGAATCGGGTGATCAACCAACTACATCAATTGACAATCAAATCGGCTATCACAGCATGAGCAACAAAGTGGGAAACGTTCTCAAGAATGAACCATAACGCCAGTCTACATAAATTACAGCTTCGGCAGCAGCCCCAACCTCAGACCACCCACCATCTTCTCATTGTCGCCGAGCGGACACAGCTGGAAGAAGCGCTCGCGCGAGCAGCGCACAAAGGCGCTCCTCTTGTGCGGCAGGTCGACAAACTTGTCGAGGCCGAAGCCGTGCATAAAGTCGTACATGAGCACCGTGTCGTTGGTCTTCTTGGGCTCGCCGACGACCCAGCTGGTGCGGGGGTCGTCGAGGTAGAGGTAGTGCATGAGGGAGGACCACCAGGCGCTGACGCGGTGGGGGCCGCGGAAGCGCACGTCGCCGACGAGGGAGTGGCGGCCGCGGTCCCAGTCCTGGGCGTCGTAGTAGCCGCCGAGCTTGTCCTCCTTGGCCCAGTAGACCTCGAAGTAGGCGAAGAAGGTGCCCTCCCAGGCGGCGAGGACGGCGACCTGGTGGGGGTCCTCGTGGATCTTGCGGAGGTACTCGCGGTGCTGGTCGAGGGTGCCCGTCTCGTTCCAGCCCTGGGAGACGCGGGGGTCGTTCTGCCACTCGTGGAAGAGGCGCAGGTGCTCGGCGTCGGTGTAGTCGAGGGACACCATGGAGAAGGTCTCCTTGAGGTGGGGGATCCAGCGGCTGTAGACGACGGCGCCGGGCGCGGGCTTGGCCGGGCGGATGGGGTGCCAGGCCTGCTGGTGCAGGGTCGGGTTCGAGGGGTCGCCGGCAGGCGTCAGCGTCATGGTGTGCTGAAGCGGCGTCAGGGGGTAGGAAGAGAGGGTGCGGCCGGCGGGCAGCAGCGGCGAGGGCGACTCGGCAGGCAGCCAGACGGGACGGGGGCCGAAGGGCGAACCAGCGCCCTGCCAGAAGGCGCTGCGCAGGAGAACGACGGTGGACCTTGTGGGCGTCGCCTCGGGGTTCTGCTGGCCGTTCTGCGCGGGATGCTCGATGGCGAGCGCGACGGCCTGGAGCTGCTGACCGAGGAGGGCGGCATCCGTCCCGCGCAGCTCGAGGCGCGCCAGCTCGGTGCCGGGCCTGATGGTGAAGAGCACGTAAACGAGGAGCCATGCCTGGGCGAGCGTCGGCTGCTTCTGGCCAGGCCACGAGACGACAAAGTTGGGGGCGCGCCGGGATCGAGCCCAGGCGCTGTTGTTCGAGTCGGGCGGCAGCTCGCTCGACTTGAGCTCGGCGGGCTCTGCAAAGTAGAGTTCGGGGTTGTCCAGCGGCTCAGGCAGCTCAGACGCGCCCTTGGCTTGTGTCGCGCGAGGGATCAGCTTGTAGAAGTGCAGGCCGCCCTCGGAGCTCTTGCCAGAGAACTCATCGTGGTTGAAGGCGCGCTGGAGGGTGTACTCGGTCGAGTAGGGGCTCGGGAGCTTGATGAGCGTCTCGTCTGGTGACAAGCTGGCGAGGGTGGTGGAAGTCGACATGATGGCAGGTTTTGTCAGTCCTGCTTGCTAACCTTGGGTATGATGATGGAGAGATGTCGATGGCAGGTGCGAGGTCTCCGAGCTGCCATGTCTGTTCGGCACCAGACAGCAATACCAACACTAGCAACCGGGTATAGCTGAACGAGGGGGGTGAGCGGCGCGCCTCGGAGCTACGAGGAGCTCTCTCAAAAATATTTCCCCCCATGTCATGTCATACTGCAGCTGGGTTGGCAGTCCGTCGGTTCGGCTGGACATGCCTGCTGCCGATCCAGAATGCAGGACCCTTGCCTTCGAGAACGAACAAGAGGAGCGAGCGAATCTGCTGCTCGGTTACGGGCGATGCAGACCCCCCCTCGCGTCATCCACTGCATCGATCCAACCTCCGCGCTCTGGTTTCCCAATGAAGAGAAGCCGACGTCGATCGGGAGGGGAGGGGGGGGGTGGACAGGCGGCATTGTTGAAGAAAGCGGACCGAGTGGTGGATTGGTACTGCAATGTACCTCAGCCAAGTGACGATGACAGCTAGGTAGGGTGCAACTAAGATGGTGGTGTACTTAAGATGGATGGTGTTGTGAAGTAGGGCGTGAACGAGGTGCAGTGCAGGGTCAAGGGTGCAACAGGGAAGAGAGAGAGAAGAGGAGGGGG